CAATATTATTTTACTCACTCAGAGATATTTGGTTAAAGACTTGTTTGTTAGGTTGTTCACTATTATTACTTACAATTTTTTAATTGTTCTATTATTTGTATTATTCATTTTATTTTTATTTAAATAAAATCATTTTTATTCATCACTTCACCGTCTGACTGGATCTCACTGCATTACTCTCAGATATTGTTTTCGAGTAGCAATTGTATATATTTACCACAATGTTGTGAGAAAGTCATCCTGTGGCTTCCAGTTAAAGGATTGATAAGTTCTCTTGTTTGTCTACAAGGCCCTATCAGGCCTTGCCCCCAGTACATCAGTGATCTTATTATTCCCTACTCTCCTTCTAGAGTTCTCAGGTCCTCCAATCAATGGCTTTTAAAGGTCCCTCGTTGTTATTTAAAATCAAAAGGAGATCGTACTTTTTTCCGTGGTAGGTCCCAAACTATGAAATAGTCTCCCATTCCATGTGAGGTCAGCTCCATCAATTGCCACTTGTACATATTTTTGTAAAAACGTATTTATGTTCTTTAGCTTTTGAATAAGTTATGTTTGTTTTGTTGTATGTTTTTAATGTTATCATTTTTGAAAAGCACTTTGGGGCAACGTCTGTTTGCTGCTATATAAATAATGTAGCTTACTTGCTTGCTTGCTTGTGGGAATAGTTTTTGTTTCTCTTTAACAAGGGTCCTAGTGTACTTTGTTGGAGTTCAAGTGTTATAGTTTGTTATAGTTACCTAATTGCAAGCTATTGAGCCTTTTTTGATACTTCTCACTCCTTGGTTGGTTTACCCTGAAGCTGAAAGGAAATAAAGTAGATGGCGAATAGGGCCCTATAGAGTAGGTTTTGTTGCTTTGTTTTATTAAAACCAAAAAGTGCTTTACTTCTTAAGTGCACATGGTTCACTGTAAGTGAATCATTGTGTATAGTCAGAAGCCTCTTTTGAGCTTAAGAGCCTTCTTTTTATATCCCATCTCAGTATATGAAGGATTGTAAAACGCAATAAATTTCGAATAAGTAAGGGCCACTCCAGTTTTACTCTGCACTTCCTCTCAGCTCTGAGAGTGACTCAATATGCTATTGAAATGCTTTTCCTCCACAGTGGAGGTAAAAATACCATTTGGCAGTGTTGTAACGGCAAGCTGAGCATTGCAGAATGACCTTGTCGGGTCAGTTTGGTGACATAATGGGAAGTAGGGGTGAAAAGGGACTTGATATTGCACCCTGTAGCATAGAAGATCAAAAAAGAGAAGCCTTTTAAGTCTTACTTCTCTTCTTTTTGGATGGTAGCAATGGCCTGACAGACGCTTCAAAAACCCCTTTGAATTTTGGGTTGTTTTCCACAGCAGGACAGCGGCTCCAGGATAGCATTTGGTGTCTGAGACTCTCTTGCCCAACAGAAGTTGGTGTGTGAAACTGTCACTCCAGTATACAAGGAGGTTTCCTTCACGGTGTCCCTGTTGCGACCTCGTAAGCTTTCCCTATTCTCACTTTTGAGAAGTTGACATGCTTTTTAGACCATCTGACCGGCCCACTATTGGAGATTCCCTTTGCAGACAAGGGTTCAGGAAAGTTACAAAACGTACTTACTTTGGCCATCGAGAATGAGACAGGAAGGAAAGATGTCTACTGCTCATTTAAGAAACATTTTCTTTGAATCACAGGATCACAGAAGCTGTGTGCGAGAGCCAGTTTTGTTTTGAATGGGGTTTCCATTTTTTATTGCTGGAACAAACTCATACCAAAGCAAAATTGGCAAAGGAAAGCAGCAGCGCAGACAATACGTGAAGAAATTAGTTTGAAACCCTTTCGGATGAAAACAATACTGTATTCATTAAAGTGTTTTATTACCTCAGTTTGCAACGTAAAAAGTAACTGTGTGTTTGAAACAGCAGCAGATATTTGCATTTACTGGATAAATCATATTTATGATGGAATGGAATTACAGCACAGTATTTGAACTTGCTTATTTTGCCTTTCAGTGTCTCTGAGATTTTTATGATGCTTTTACCAATTCCCAATTAATTATTATGATCATATTTTAAATAAAGTGAAAGAATGGGCTATTTAATCGGTCACAGCGAGCTGTTGATTATTCGTTATTATTGATATTACCCCAGAATTTCAACATCAGTTCATACCTAATGATTGTGGTGGATTTTTTTGAACCTATCCAAAACAATTTGTGTACTCAGTCTGCCCTCATTATGTTTGATAAACACGAATTTAACTTGGAATGCTGTGATTGTTAACTGGGGTGCAATTGATGTTTTAACAAATGCATACTTTGTCTCCTTGTCTCTGAGCAGGTCACTGTAGCCCGACTTTGACCCTTCTTTAAATTGGAGGCAAACCAATTAGAAGTAGTTGAAACCGTTTTTGCTCACTTAATATCAGCAATGAATACCTTACCTTAGCTGATACTGAGAATCTTCATTTTTAGTTCTCTATTTGTTTGTTCAGGTTAATGTTTCACCAGTCAAAACAGATAAGTTGGTGCAAATATTCACCACAGTTCTGTAAGATATTTTATCAAAAATATACTGGAGACCTTAAACATTTGGACAATAGTGTATACTTTTTCTCATGGTACCCAGTTGGGCCGTGTAATGACTGCAGGGTTTTGTTGAATATGTTACAGAGGCTGCTGTTTTGGTTAATTTGGATTTTATTTATATTTTATTGCCAGAGCTGGTTAAAAGTTATATATATATATATTTGGTTAAAAAAGGGAAAATTTGTGTTAGCAAGTAATCATTCAGCAACATTCCTTCTTTTTCCAAATCACTCTTAGTGCCAAATGACACTTACAAGAAGGAAAAGTAATTGCTTGCAGGCAGCGGAGCCTCTCCCAGTCTTGAACCCAATCCCTCATTCTTTTAATATGTAGGTCCTTCCGGATTCCTTTCCATGTCCTGAACTTGTGGAGTTTTCCAAATGACATGCATCATTGTGTTTAAGGGCATTAAAATGTCAATAAGCCTGCATATTTGGGTTATGTGACATAAAACAGGCCACTATAGCTGAGATGATTAATGCTTGTAAAGCAAGAAGAAAGCAAGAGCAGTGAACCGTATTTTACCACAGAGGCAAAATTGCATCATGGACTCGACAGATTCAAACCCCCAACCAAGCCAATAAAACAGTACTTTAGTTTACTATAGGCCTACTTACTAGTAGTGAGGGATGTTGTTATTGAAATAACAGAGTTTGTGTTAAGCCAGCTGGTCATTGATTTTCTGTTTGGATATTTACCCTCATCTGTCAAAAAGCTTTAGATGCTGTAATGGACATAGACAGGAAAGTAAACAATCTGTTTGTGGTCAGCAAGAATCTGGGTGAAAGTAGGAGCACTTCTGAATGTGTCAAAGGCCTTCACAGTCAGACAGGTCCAGGACATCAAATGTTTATAGGGAGAGTAAAGCTCCACGTATGATGGATAACACCCAGCTGTGTTGAGCTGTTAGGTCACACAAATGGTTCTCTACACCCCCCACCCCACTTTGTTTATACACACAGTCTCACATGAGTCGTATCCTAAAATGCATGCCCAGACATGCCCGTATTGGGGGGAGTAACATCCTGAATGCCCAGTGAAATCTCTTACTCTCACACATAAACAAAGACCCATGCACACTACACACATTGTTGTTCTTAAATAGTGGTGGCGATCTGCTATTGAGCCCAGTTGTTCTTAAATCAAGATTTTTTTTTAGTAGTAAGTAATATCCTATTATTTATTATCTACTGTTTAGTTCTCATACTTTGAGCGGTTTCCTACTTTCAATTATATTAAGGTGGTAACTTTCTTTTTACTTGTAGGCCATACTTGTTGTTTTATATTGAGTTTCTGTATCTCCTAACCAAGCGGCAACATTCTAATTTGAAACATGAAGCCTACCCAGAAGTGTGAAAAACTGCAATACATCGAAAATCCGCTAGAGGACGGTCCCAAAAGGGAGCAAATGTCCACATTTTTTTTTTAACGTGTTAGTTTAGATCGTATTTAGATATAAAATGTATGACAAATAAGGGCGGTTAACTTTGATTGACAGCTGTTAATGGGCTGCGCCAAGTGGAATTTGATGTCTCCGCCATGATCTGACACAACACATCATACCACCTCTGTATCCTTTCTGATTTTGTATTTCCCAAGATTTTCCAGTATGGCGCCGCCCATACCCCCCATAAACAGCCTTAAAATTGTTCTTCAGAAAGTGTGTGGGTGACGTCACAGACCTCATATTTTTTACAGTCTATGCCCCTACTCCTAAAGCTCACAAAACCTGTTTGGCATTTTTATGTTTTAAGGGAAGGCAGTGTAATACTAAAAAACTAATACTAACACTCATTACTTAACTACTAATACTTAATAGATATTACTAGAACACTTTTTAATTGTCCAAAATCTTTTCTAGTGTGACTGTACCCACACCATTCCTTAATATAGGTTTTGGCAATAAAAGTTGTTCATCTTTCATGTTAGCAATTTTAAGGGTTTATTTTGAGTTATTTTTTCCAGTCAGAAAATGAATATATTAAATGTAAAAAACATGCTCACAACAGACTAAATCAAAGCTGAGCTGACTCTCAGTAGATTAGTTAACACTAATTTCCCACAGATAGACAGTGTGGGAATTGCTTAATGGCTCCTGCAGGACCAATGTTCTCAAGCTCTCTCCACTGGAATATTAAATGCACTGCCCAATGCACAATTTAAGGCATTAATGAGTTTATTCATTGGTTTGTTGTTGGATATAATATGCAGTTGTTGTGTAAACAGTTTAGAAGCCAAGCCAAATATCAAATCACAATCATATTGATGAGAACATACGCTTATACGTGCATCGGCAGAATTCGGGTGATTGTTTTCCTTTGCGATTTGAGGTGGACTTATGGGCTGGTGGTCTGCTAGCATTTACACTAGCATTTAGTGTTGTGATCAATGAGCCAATCTCTGATGTTTCTTTATCTCTCTTCTCTTTCGTTCTCTGACCAGGTTATCCATGACCTCAGATTTACAGCATTACACTTTCAGGATGCCGAATATAGGGTTTCAGAACCTTCCCCTCAATATCTACATTGTTGTCTTTGGGACAGCCATTTTCGTCTTCATCCTCAGTCTACTCTTCTGCTGCTACCTGATTCGGTAAGACCACCTTGCGACAGCAGAATGTGTTTGAACAAGCCTCAGAATGCCATACATTTGTTTATTTATCCTCTTCAGTCGGTTTTAGGGGTTGAGCGTCTTTATCTGATCCCTAAATATTTAGGCTACAAAACGGACCTGTTGTAATTAAACACAATTAAGTGGAATTTGCATCATGATTTGTTAGGAAATTCTTGAAAAATGAAAATCAACCCAAAATGTGCAAGTGGGTGTTGTTGGAACCATGGTAGACTGGTGTTTATCTAGACAACTGTTGAATGTACCAATCCCCAAAGGTAAAATGGAAAATGGAAGGGAGTTTAAGAGACTTATATGAGAGGATAGAGGAGTGCTGACAGATGATGGTGAAACAGAGAAGTTCCCTTTCATCTTAACACCGTGTCCATTCCATGTGGGGAAGCTTTTATCATGCTCACTTTGAAGGATGAACCAACTCTGAATTTCAGAGCCATACTTTAATTATTAGTGGCTGCCCAATAAAGAGGTAAGGATAAATGAGCAAATTCATTGAATTCCTCAATATATAATAGGGATGTTCAATTTTAGTCTTAGAATTAGCCTTGTTAAGCCATGGGTTCCCTCAGGAAATTTGGATTTAGTTTTGGATTTATGAGTAAAATAAGGTCTTGAAGAGACTTTCCTAATTTGATTTACGACATAAATCACACACAGTCATACCGTAATGGAAATTTGTTGAAACATAAATTCCATTGGGAGCCCATGGCAAATTAGCCTTCAAGGTTGGTCTGCAAACCATGTCTTTATGACGTGCATGAACAGCTCCACTGCAATGCAGCATTCCTTAAAAAACAATAATCACAACAACAGGGTAACTGTATGGCATTTTGAAGAAAGATCATGATTGCTTGTGCCTGAAATGGTTTTTATGTGCGTGTTCAATGCATGAATCATGAAGAGTGAGAAGGTCACACAGCACAGTTTGGAGAAGCTAAGATAGCTACTGACTTGATAATCTGAATTGAAAATAAAAGCTCCCCCACTGTGTATTTGGCTTGTAGTTTCCATGTAAAGCTTAGCTGCACAATCCCAAATCAATGCATTTTCTACCATACATTGTCTCACTTCCATTATGGTTTGAGTGAACTTTGCAGGAGCTGCTCAATAACTTGAAGGACATTGATTAACTTTTCTAGTGAGAATGAACCTGGTAATGATAAAACAACCAAACTGCCCACTGATGCTTTATGGCTTAAGAAACTCCATTCTAAGTGAGCTACAGAGCTGCTGCTGTCCAGTCAAATTTGCAATGCGGTCATTCTTAGCAGCAGAGATAATATATCTTTAAAGTGCAATTGAAACGTGTAGCATCTGTTACTTAAGCCTCCAAATCCAGCCTAACCAGTGTGGGAGATTTTAAGTTGAAATTGTATTTAACTTTGCCTCCCCCTTACTGTATTTTCATATATAGCCTTGTATAGTCTTATATTATTAATCTCAACAATGAAAACGCTGGATTCTCGAATGAAAAACTGTCAGATTACCAAATTCATCTTTAAAAAGATTTGTATTTAGCCCACATTTCAGACTTCTGAAGATGCAGTCTCCCTTGCATTGGATCACAAATATTCATAACTTACTCATTGAATTAACCAGAAAGCATTTGTTATGCCCCCATTACTAGAACACACACACAATTGCCCTGAAAACTATTTGGACACTTCAGGCACACTTAAATATTGCATTGCATTAAATAACAAAACGTCCAAATAACTTGCATTTGTTTTAGATGACTGCACAAGCACGCTTTTCACAAAAAAAATACAGTATGTTTGTTAGGTACGTAGAGCCACTGTACATCTGAAAACCAGCAGACTAGAATGGAAATGCAATTGCAATTTCAGCAAGTACCGAAATAGTAGGCTACCATTCTACCTAGCTGCATTTTTCACTATATTTTTAGCAAGCTATTTTTCACCTCGACATATACCTTCAGCATCATTGAAACAATAGGCAAGAGGCTGGAGTGCTTATTCTCAGCTTTTTTACATTTAGCAAATGCTTTTGACAGGATGGAGACATCCCTACTGAGACCAATATATGCTGTGTTTTGTGAGTTTGTGTAACCAGCAGACGTCTTAATGGACTAGTTCAGCCAAAAAATGGAAATGAAATTAAATTCTGTCATTTATTCAAACTGTTATTGACAAAATGACATCCAAAATTACAAATACTCTGATCTGGCCGACTGTACAGAATTAAATTTCAGCCTTTTCTACACTAAACAGGCTTCAAAAGATTTGGAATATAATTGTATGGACCTCAAGTAAGATACTTTTTGGCACACTTTACTATAAAATTTAATTAGTTAACATTAGATTGCGCAATGCAAATTAACATGACCATGAACATTTTTATTAACTAACATTAATAAAGATTAATAAATGCTGTAATAATATACAGTATTGCTCATTGTTAGTTAATGCATTAACAAATTATACCTTATTGTTAAGTGTTACCATACTTTTAGAGTTTGAAAACTCAAACACTCCAGTCCCATGTCAGATGACCAGCACAATCATAATGGGGAGTAAATAATGACAGAATTCTCCTTTGTTGGTGAAACTATTCCTTCAGCTAACTGAACCAACTAGTTTTGGCTACACCAGTACACCAGCAAGACAAGCATGAAGTTTGTCTTTCCAGCAGGGACTTTAGTGTAAAACATGCTTTGTGATGAAATGATTGAGATCTGTGCAGATGGTCTCTTGACCTCTTTAGTTGTCGATATAAAGCGCTATTTTATCATGAACATCAAAGACTCGAATCAAGGGCCATCCGATTGTAGAGTCGTGCGACTGTGGATTTTCAATGTGAAAGATGGGGGAGTCGTGAGCTCAAGTGGACCTGTGAAGGACGTCGTGATTCTGAGCAAACACACGCAGTCGCACGTAGCAGCCATGCACCAGCTCCGACACACAAATGTGAAATGCCCCTGTGACAGGCGAACACACACTTAGAGAAGAAAAGGGGTGGGTGGGTGTTTGTCTGGTACAGTCATCCTCATGGGAAGAAAATCGAAATTCACACACACACGTCTGAGATTGAGCACTCAGTGTGATGTTAATAGCTGTACCAGTTATTACAATGCAGGGAAATGGTCACAAGGTGGTTTTCAAGAATTGTAACGCCTGCCTAATGGTGCGTTATAAATCATGACTGCGTGTAGTTTGTCAAACAACAGTTCATCTAGACCTAGTCTATCTCAGGTCAGGAACTAGACTGAAAGATGACTACACGAATTTAGCAACATAAATGTCTTGATATTTCGCCATCCCTTTCCGTTCTGATCATACTTTTGCTTTGAAGAATAAATAGTCCATGACGACTTCTTTCAGCCGTTCACACAGAACAATTTTTTTTTTTTTGCTAGACGGATGTGTTGCACTTGTGAATTTTGCAATATCTTCCGCTAAAAACGCAGCGCTTAAGTTAAAAAATTCAACATAAAGTATCTCTTTTAAACTGTGATAAAGGCCTTTTAGACATTAAAGGAGTAGTTCACTTTAAAAAAAAAAAAACTCTTGCTGATAATTTACTCAACCCCATGTCATTCGAGATGTCCATGTCTTTCTTTCTTCAATCAAAAAGATTTTAATGAAAACATTCCAGGATTTTCTCCATATAATGGACTTCAATGGGAACCAAACGGTTCAAAGTCCAAATGAGAGTTTCATTGCAGCAAAACGATCGATCATTTAAAAAATAAATAAAAAAAGTTTAAGTTTTATAAGCACAAATACTCGCCTTGCTCTGTTCTGTGATGACTGTTTGTGACTCTCCTGTTCAAACTCGTTCATCAAAATGAAGAAATCTTTTTTTGAGCCATGACTCGAAGGGTCCAGATAAGACCCTTATTCATTGTCTGGTGTCGTTTAAAGCCCTTCAAAGCTGCACTGAAGCTGTCATTTGGACCTTGAACCATTTGATTCCCAATGAAGTCCTAGAATGTTTTCATCAAAAACCTTAATTTCTTTTCGACTGAAGAAAGAAAGACGTGGACATCTTGGATGACATAGGGGTGAGTAAATTATCAGCAAAAGTGTTTTTTTTAAAGTGAACTACAAAGATGAGTGGTTTGTTTTTGGATAAACCACAAACATGCCCTGAAGTACCCATAAATCACAGTCCCTCACCTCTAAATTCCTCCAAAGGGAGTATCTGCTCCTTTACCTATTTTTTTTCACATCCAAATCTCTTTTCCCTTGAGACTTTTCTTAATGAATCTTTTCTTTAATGAACTATATTCATTTCTGGATGTGATTGTATAATACTGCAGTATTGTATGTTGTGTTCACTTGTGCCTTTCCTTTGTACAGGAAGTAATATTGGCCTGGTCTGAAATATTGTTGTTTGTTGTTGTTGCTGAATTCATTTTCCTAGCTTTCACAGAATTTAAATATGAAGGGTTTCAGAAAAACAATCAATCATAAAAGGCCTAGATGAATGTCTTCTAAAGCTACTATTACTGGACTATAACTAATGTTCTAACAACCCTACGGACATAAAATAAACTTGAGACTAAACATAGTGTATAGCGTTTGCTGCTTTTCCTTAAATAGCCTTTTTCTTACACTAGATACTCTTCCATCATGCCTGACACATTCCAGTTATTTTCCATCAAGGTTCCTCTCTCTCTCTCTCTGTGTGTGTTTCTGTGTCACACACACTTGCTCAAGATCAAAATAGTGTTAAATGTAGACTGTCCATTGCTTGGCTGCCTCCATTTCTTGAGTTCATGCCAAGAGTATCTGTATAGTTCTTTTAAAGGGTCTGACAGTCACACTCGGTAAAGCATTGCAGTGGTGTGAGTGGGTGATGCTTGGGCAGTTTGGTTCAGACAGTTTGTTAAAGTCTGGTCAAGCTTAATGAGACAATACAAGACCTAAATCATCCTGAAAGACTCCAAAGATAGTTTAAACATACCAAGGCAGCTCAAAGCACCGCTAGAACTGAACTGGACAGTTATTTTTTTTAACAAAAAACGAGACATGAAAAGTAATTTGAAAGTGGATGGCAATGTGTTTAGCAGGTTGATTTTGTGATTAGGCTCAAATGTAGTAGATAAAATGTACACTTTGATGGTATCCAGTGAAAAATGTAACTTAGCAACACATCAAAATACATGTTATATGAAATATGTGGTGAATCATTTTTTTATTTTGTTTAGTTCAATGCTTTTTAAATGATCAGCACAGCTAAAGTTATGCCTTATGGGGACTGAAAGCTACAATTTGTCAAACTGTGACTGAAAAAACAGATCCAGGCATGGGTTCACCATATACAGCTGGATTATATAAACAGAGGTCCAGAAGCACAATGCATTTTTTAACACCCAACAAAACCCATTGGAATTTAAAATGGTCTGTGTTTAGTATCATGGTTTAACTCAATGATTTTGGCCTATGTTTGTATATAGTTTGGTAATGTCTCTCCAACACAAGTTTTTGAAAATGTTGTAACCCTTTGAACTAAAACAAAGATTTCTTTTTGCCTAGGTTACGGCACCAGGCGCACAAAGAGCTCTATGCATACAAGCAGGTAAGCTGCTATTAAAACCCTTAACTCTATTGTATACTGTACATTAATTACGGCATGATTCAAAATGGGTGTAAACGTGAGGGTTTCTGTTATTTTTTCATGCAATTTCAAACGTTTCAGTTATATTATATTATATATTAATTACTAATTTTTTTTCGTTTACAGGTTATTCAAAAGGAAAAAGTCAAAGAATTAAACTTGCATGAGGTAGGAGTTCCCCCTTTCATCCAACTGTGCAGAAATGATTATAATTTACATATTTTTTGTGGCCAATCATTTACTTACAGGCAAGAGGTTAAATATGTGCTTATGACATCTTTGAGTTTCAGTCTCTTCAGAGCTTATGACGTTTAACCTTCACCAGTTCGTACATGACCACTATCATTTTGCTAGTGCTGCTAATAGACTGACTTCATATGTGAGTGCTAATGAAATATTGAGGTGTAAGGACACCAATGTTCTTGTTGAAAGCTCAAACTCTCCTGGAATTTCCTGAAGCCCCTCTCTCCCCCTTTCGGTTTCTAATAAGAGCACATTGTCAAGGAATAGTTTCTACTTTTAGGTAGTTATATTTTTAGCATCCTGGCTAAAGCTGGATATTCGAGCAGCTATTTTAACCAAACGGTAATATTTCTCTTCTGGCTGTGGATGTACATGGATGCCATGTAATCTTTAAGCAAAACAATGATAGCATTGTGTTGTGCTGAACTGAGTTATGTTTTGTTGGAAGGATCATCCTTCTGTCACGTCTGGCTTTTTTTTTTTTTTTTTTTTTTTTTTTCATTTGCTTTTGATACAACAGCACAGCAATTGCAAATGGTGCAAGTTTGTTCAACAGAACACAAAATTCTCTCAGCCACTGTATTTTTATCCAACCCTAGAAGAGCTATGTCATTAATATTAACAGCGCTGTGTCAGTGATTTAATAATAGTCATTTCGTTTTAAACATTGCATGAAAATTGTTAGCAATGCCCAAGAAGTGCCAACTAAATGTCATCCACACTTGTAAGCACAGTTTTGTTTATGGCATTCTACGTGTTTTTTGGACTTTCTATGCCAGCAGTCATGACACTCATTTGTTTTATAGTTGATATTGACTTTTTGGGAAACACTTTCATCCATGAGTCTGATACTTGCTTTTCCCACCCGCCAAAGATGTTACCATTTCCACATTTGCAGGTGGTTCCATCTAGGGCTGATAGATATATACATACATTGTCGAAATGTCGCAAATGTACAGTACATAACCCAATATGGGTAACACTGTAGTTTAGAGTCCAGTTATCACTATTAACTAGTTTTTTTTTTTATCATATATTACTAAGATCTTGACTGTTTATAAGTACTTATAAAGCACATCCATGCCTTATTTTACATCCCTTAATCCTACCCAATACCTAAACTTAACAACTAAGCAGTAATTAGGAATTTATTGTGGCAAGATGTAGTTAATATTTAGTTAATAGTGAGAATTGGACCCTAATCTAAAGTGTAACTGCAATATGCAACTAATTTTATTTAAAATAAAATATAAAATACATTTCAGGATTTATGTCTCAGTTTTCTAAGTTTCAGTTTTTTATATGGATGATGAAAATAAAAATATTAACAGTAATAACAGAATGTTAATGTGTTCATTGAAATGTATAGATTTGACAACAAATCTTGCAATGTTTCATTGGACATTTGTGAAACTAAAAATACATTTCTATAAGTTTCCCCACGCATGTACTGGTAATTCAGGATTGTACTTGTATATGTGCTCAGTCAAGAAGGAAGGGGCGGGGGCTATAAGCTGATTGGTCTCTCCATTCTGTCCACACAAACATTTTTTTTATGATTGTATGCCACAGGCATGGGAGGTTTTTTTTCTAGCATAGTTAGAGGTTACAAACATTTAGCACAGCATTGCACAATAAGTGTTTACCCCTGAGCAACATCAATTAATTGGTTCTGAAATATCATAAACTGTGACAAAAATGATAATTCTGCTTTAATTTTTTTCACCCTTGTGTTGTTCCAAACCTGTAAAGTCATACTTTATTTAACTACTATGTACTAACATCAATAAATACCTACAAGTAACAATAAGTAGTTACTGTGTAACTAACTACATGCTGTTCTGGAAAATTCTCACATTTACTGCTAATGAGTTTGAGGTACGGGTTAGATTTAGGGATAAGTGTAAGGATCATTGGGGGTTAGAGATTGGTTCTGGGGTAAGGGTTTGGCTGTTATTGTAATGTTTAAAGCTAATTAAATGTACTTCATGATATGTAAATAAAACGTATATCGGGTAACACTTTATTTTACAGTGACCTTGTTACATATGTTGTATGTACTTACCATAGTAACAACAGTAAATTATGCATAATTGCATGCAACCAACCCTCAACCAAATCCTACTCTATCCCTACAGTAAGTACATGTTGTTAATTAATATTACTCTGTACTTAAATGTATAGTTACACTGTAACAATGACACCTTAACATAAAATGTTACCATGTATTAAATAAAATGGTTAAGTACAGTACATAGAAGTTAAAGGCTTAGTTCATCCAAAAATGACAGCTCATTATTTAAACAACGTCTTTACTACCTTTCTGGGCCTTGAAAGTTGCAATTACGTTGCTGTCTATATGGGGAATCAGAAAGCTCTGCAGATTTCATCAAAAATATATTAATTTGTGTTCTGAAGATGAACTAAGGTCTTACAGGTTTGGAACGACATGAGGGTGAGTAAATAATGACAGTATTTTCATTTTTGGGTGAACTAACCTTTAAAGGGATACTCCACTTTTTTTGGAAATAGGCTCATTTTACAACTCCCTCAGAGTTAAACAGTTGAGTTTTACTGTTTTCGAATCCATTCTGTGCTATTTTCTGATATTTAGAAGACTATCAGTAACCAGACAGTTTCTGGTCTCATTGAATTGAATAGTATATATTTTTTTCCTACTATGGAAGTCAATGAGACCAGCAACTGTCTGGTTACTGATAGTCTTCTAAATATCAGAAAATCGGCTGAATGGCTTCGAAAACTTGGAGTATCCCTTTAAAGGCCACCTAGTATCCCAAGGGGAAAAAAAAAAAAAAAAAAAAAAAACTCAAATATGTCTACAGTATAGGGTTTAATATTTTTTTTCCCCCATCGACAAATGAATACATTTTCTTCTTGATGGTGAGAAAATGATGACAGAATTAAAATTTTTGGTTGAACTAGATTCACTTCACTAGATCCTACATTGAATTAAGGAGTGTCCGACTGCAGCATGTGGTCTCGGCTTTTAAGTTCAAGCCCCCATGAGTTTGAAAGGCGATCTGTCTGACTACATGAGCAGAATTATACATCCTCACAGCTCACACCGCTCGATCAACTGTCCTTGATCTTACATAAGATACACGGTCCTTCAGCGTGAGACGAGTGAATATAATCTCATCTCTGGAAACATGAAGTACCCTGATAATATACGGACATACAAATTGTACGGTAGAGCTTGTGCACGGATGATTGATATGCAAACACACTGGTGCAGAAAAGTAGCATATGTGCCAGACAGTTGCCAAGATATGGATCCTCAGATGGCAACCAGTGAGAACAGCATGGACATAAATATCACAGCGTCAGTGAGAAAGATATATTGTGCGTAATTCCACCGCAGTGAAACAGACGCACATAAAACTGCACGGTTCGTGTTTTATAATAGTTGATCGTAGACGCAGCTCTCCGGGTGAGACATCAAACAGACGAGAGCGGCAGCGTGAAACAGACTGAGCAATGCTTATGAAGGTTTATTTCTGTTCATTAAAAAAGACACCGGGGAGTCACTTTTGAACTGCAGAGGTGGTCCTTTCCATTCAGAAGCCTAGCAGAGGCAAGAAAATAAAATGCATTATGGTTCAATGGCATACCATCACTGTTATGCACTGGTCTGATTGGATGATTGATTATAAACAGATTGGCCTTGCTTGGAGTATAAAACCGTAGGCGCGTAAAGGCAGTGTCTGTTTTGTTTTTTTGTTGGATGCAGCTACATGTTTTGTGTTATGAAGAGACTTTCACACACTGTCCCTTGTTGGCCCCGTCAATGCCATTCTTTCCTGACAAAACGCAACAGTGTATTCAACAGACAATTTCTTATTCTCGCAGTCTCGCTCGTCTCAAACACAGAACCATTGTGTCTCGATAATTCGCTGACCACCCCCTGGTGAGGGTCAATGACACCTAAAGCACTAGGACTCTATCTTGTTTTGTGATACACACACATAACAGTAAATATGTGTTGTGACAGACAGGCACATTTGTCCGAAACCCCTTCTGTTCTCTTACAATTACTAGTTGTGCTTTTCCCTGCTCCATTGTTTGCTTTCAGCAAGGGTTAATGAAATATTTAATTTGTGAGTTCTGGAAAGATGTCCCAGTTTTTAACTTTCACTTGCATTATGAATTATTCCAACAAGGTATTAAACACATTTAAATTGTGTATAATATCGGATGTTAATTTAGTTTTTTGATATAATTTGTCACTTGAAGTTTCTTAAAGGAGTAGTTCACTTTTAAAAAAAAACTTTTGCTGATAATTTACTCACCCCCATGTCATCCAAGATATCCATGTCATTCTTTCTTCAGTCGAAAAGAAATTAAGGTTTTTCATGAAAACATTCCAGGATTTTCTCCATATAATAGACTTCAATGGGAACCAAACGGTTCAAGGTCCAAAAGACAGTTTCAGTGCAAACTGCAAACTGTTTAAAGGGCTTTAAACGATTCCAGACGATGAATAAGGGTCGTATCAAGCAAAACGATTGCTCGTGCTCATTAAAATAAATAAATAAATAAATAACAAAGTTTAAGTTTTATAAGCTCAAATCAAATTTTATAAGCTTGTGCTAAAAACGGTGTAGTATCCCTTTAAATACTTAGGTGATTACTTGTAATGGCATGTTGAGACATGTGTATTTTATGTAAGTGTTTATAAGTATGTTTATATTTAAACATTGTTCATTGGAATTTATTGTTTTCTCTCTCCAGATTTGTGCGGTGTGTTTGGAGGAATTCAAGCAGAAAGATGAGTTGGGAATCTGCCCGTGTAAACATGCCTTTCACAGAAAGTAAGTGCCTTGGCATATGTTGCTTTCTAAAACAGGAAAATGTCTGCACCACTAGCAGCTCCAAACAAAGTTTTGCAGTCTGATTCTATTCTAATGACATTACAATTTGAGGTTGGATTACCTCTTTGACGAACAGTGGCAGACAGGTCGTGTTGGACACTTGAAAAAGCCATTCTGATTCTGATAGTGGCATAGATGACATCGTTAAAACATTAACCTAAAATCAAATTTGCAATGTTACATGCCATGGTATCAAGAGTGCTGGATAACTGTGCTCTGAAATTGATCTAGTTGAAATGTGTGATTCACCCGTCTTCTCATTCGCCCCTTTGTGAAACACTTGCACAGGGCTGTATGTCAGTAAATGCCAAAGTAAATGTCAGAGTAATGCTTGGACACTTATTAGAGGGGTTGGGAGCTCTTTGTTCTTTTTAAACATTTCAACGTTTTAGTTTGCCTCTCTAGGAACCCAGATGAATTTTAGAGCATAAATGGTTCATTGAAGTGAAGTCGACTCGTATATGAAATGCATGTATGTATACATTTGTATAAAATTGATGCACATGTATTTCCCACAAGAGATTTTTTGAGTCAAGCACAATATAAATCCTATATTATTAATATTTAGGCTACTGTTATTAATTAATATTAATAATATTAATAGTTAATCATTTTATGCAACAAATTAATGCATTAGAAGCTCATAGTGTCAGTTATGCCACAAGGGTGTTGTGATCAAATCAAATCCCTCAAAATGCCTACATCCAGGCTGTCGGTGATTAAATGTCGGCTCCTGTATCATAGATCTGTTTGTGTACCTAATGGGACCAACACGGCCTAAAATAGAACTGTGCTTAGAGTGAATAATTCATCAGAGAAATGCCAACATCTCACTCAGACAAACCCGAGATTCAGTCTCACATTCCACATGGGCTTCCTGCAAAGAGACGCCCAGCTTCGCCAACACAGCCAGCCATGAGATATCAAAAATGAGATCACTTTTGACTTGCTACCAGTGGGCAGTTTCACATACTCTGCTGTGATCTGGGAAATTTTAAGCATTATCTAGTTTGCCTTTCATCTTTCACATTGTCTTTCTCAGGTGCCTTATCAAATGGTTGGAGGTGAGGAAGGTATGCCCGCTGTGCAACATGCCAGTCTTGCAGCTGGCGCAGCAGCAGAGCATGTCCGAGCCTGCGCCCCCAACACAGCAGCCTCTGCCCGGGGTGGAGAACCTGGTGTAGCCCCTTCTCTTTATCCTAAAAATATGACCACCACTACCTTCACACTCCCTCCTGTACAGGTACACGCTCATATCCAAGGACAGACCGCAGGATTTGTGCCCGGAGCCACAGTGACCTCTGACCTGCATATGTTCATTTCCTGCCTTGGAACGGATTTTTCCAAATTACAATAATAGATGATTTACGCCATCCGTCTTATTTGGGTTTAGCTTTCTTTCCTGTGGGATAATGAAGAAGAATTAAGTTTACATGGCCAAGTCATGTTTAAAGTAACCGTTCCACACCAAAGCACTTTTTTTTTAGGACACCAGTGAGAGGCAAAAAAAAATAAAAAAAAAAAATACAAGGACTAAAAAATATAACATTAAAAACAAAAAACTACTTTTTTTAACAGTTCTTTTTTAACAAGCACTTTACACAAAACTCAAACTTAGTTGCTTGTGGTAGTAGCAAGATCTTGTTTTATACTTTATGATTTAAAACATTTTTTAGTAGATGTACACAGAGCCACAGAGTAAACCATTGGTATTATTTTCATTAGAGAGGGTTATGTTTATACTGTATATTAAAGGGACAGCAGCTCTCCAATGTGTATATGTTTGTTTGTTTGTTTGTTTGTGTTGTGATGGTCAGTAGAATGGCTGTATTGGTAGATACGGTTCACCAATACTTTTAGCTGGTGCCTAATACAAATGTGAATGCAAAGTTCGTGTTATTAAGGTCAGGATGTAACCCAGCAGTATTTAATCTGTGTTCTGTGGACGCCTTTATATTTGACATGCTTTTTTATCTGAGGACTGCGTTAAATCAACACACACACACACACTTCTGTAGCTTTGGGTTCAAGGTTGTATTTGATAAGAATATTAAAGAAACCAAAAAAGCTTATTGCAAAAGAAAAAAACACTATTCGTAGGGCGTGTTCACAGTCACACTTGGCATGTTTGGTTCGATTAAATTGAACCCTGTTAGTGCGGTCCATCCGGAGACTGTGGTGCGCACCAAAAAAGCAGACCGAGACCACTGAAAAGATGGGTGTCGGTCTGCTTCCAAACCAACTCTGGTGCGATTCGAATGAAATATGAACACAACACGGACCAGACATGTAAACGAACCAAAAACGGGACATGATATCACATGCTTAAGCATACCTGTTTTTTGTTTTGTTTTTTTCAGGTAAATACACGATAAAAGCCTACCAATCAGGTTGTGAACGTATCACTTTGCCGTTAGATTCGGTGTTTAAATGCCAACGTGAATGCTAAACGGACCAGGACTAAATGTTTTCTGTTGGAAATGTTGGTCCGGACCAAACAAACCAAGTGAACACCGTTAAACTTGATCAGATATTCTAAATACTTAAGATTTTCCCACAAAGTCTAAATAACATGAGAATTATATACACTAAATAATGCTTTTTATTTTGTAAGGAACCTGCAGACCCCCTGCAATATGTATGATGTTGGCCCACACTTTGGGAACTGCTGCCATAAACCCCTCCTGTTTCCACTAACTGTTCATAGTTGAAGCATTAGTCAGTTTCTGGCTTCAGTTCAGTTTCTGCAGAGTTCTGCCAGATGTGTTATAGAGGTATTGGAAATAGTTGCAAATTTAAACTCGACAAAATGGCCCAAAGGTAGTTTGTCTTTCATGATTTATTATTGCATAAATCGCCTAGGTTTCATTCCCCAGGTACTGTTGGGGTGTATTCTTTTTTGTTAGTTATCACGTCTACCGGGAAAGCTGCATCTCTATGCAAAGCAGCAAGTGTGTGTGTGTGTGTGTGTGTGTGTGTAAGTGTGTGCGCACTTGGCTTCTGTCTCCAACGAATATTAATAAACGTAATGACGCTATTGTGAGGCAAATCAAACTAGACACGCTACAGAAACAAACTTAGATCTGACCAGAAGTCACTGAAATTGGAGAATGTCCTCAGTATGATATACACAGTCTAGTTTAGTATCATTCCAGCAACTTTCAGCATGTCAGTGAATCAGTCACTTTGTAACACAGAATCCTTAGACGTTAAGATCAACGAGTTGCAGGGTTGATACAGTCAGCAGGATGGGGCGTTCTTTGGATGCTATGGCTATTTCTCGCTCTAGTACTTTTTTTCTTCTTCTTTTTCATCCCACTAACCTCATTGGGTCAGCTGTACCCTCCATGTTAAGGGAGTCTAGAAAATAAATGTGTAATATTACATACAGATTGGCCACAACTCTAGAAATGATGCCAAATGTAGAAACATTTTGTTGCTGAGTAGAATTATCACACAAGTAATGTTTTATATAAACCCAAACTAAATCTGCATTGGTTTTTATTCTGATTTGGTCATGGATTGAATGTTGTAACTCATTGCCGAGCAAAATGCCCAACATGTTCTGCGGTGTGTATTTGTGTTTTTGAAAGGCTAGATTCAGACTGTGAATTAAGTTAAGTTTATTTATTTCTTTTTTTCCTGCATTTGCTGAGTGTGTGAAGAATCTCTTGTGCATATTATCTAAAAAGAAAAAAATATATAACAGAAAAAATAAGGCTTTTTATATATATACTTCTTTTGGTTTGCTCTGATACTTTGTCTTAATTTAAGGTAAAACACTGAGGATTTCCTTTAGATTTGTAATTCATTATCTACAAATAGCATTCAATTGTGAGTCCTAAATTAGGATCTCTCCATCTCGTTGGCGTTTGTAACACGGCAGGTCTTAACGTGTCACTCTGATCACGAATGTATACATATAGAGAGCTGTGGTTCAACTGTGTCATAATGTGAAAGTAGTTGATTGTGTCTGAAAATCGAGTTGCGTCGCTGCACTTTTCATATTCTTCCATTTTGGTGGAATTGGTGCCTCTCCATTGAGGCAGAACTGAAATGAGGCTAAAAAAATATTCGTATTTATTGTGTGCTAATGTTTAAAACCCATAACAGTTCAATAGTATGTTCTAACGGCGCTATTTTAGTGATAATTCAGATTAGGCAAAGAAAGGCTTTGTTGACATTGTTTAAAGCAATTTCAAAATCCAAAATCGCTCTGAAAACATATCTAGAATCGTTTAGTCAGGAGGTAGTCCTCAAGCATATTGGGAATGTTAAGTGGTTACATTTTTGCTCAGCATATTCAAACTAATCTTTGTTTGTTTTTTACTGATCATTACTGAGAGTGCCATTGACCAACTGTATTTTGAAAAGCCAAATTAGGATTTCAGTTGCAACTTTACAACTTGTGTTTGTTCTCGGCAGGCTTTTTAGACTAGATGACATTTTATTGTGAGAAAAGATTGTTGGAAAGAGTTTGGCAGTATTTCTGTTGCAAAGTAGCAGTTATTTCATAGAATGTGGTCAAGAGTTACTAAGGCACATAATGTAATTCAAACATTGTGTTATTTTTTTTATATATTTTTTTGATACATGATTATTAAAACTAAACTGCCAATTTATCAACCCTTCATTGTGACAAGCCATTGTGAACCACCATGGAACTTCCTCCTTCCCCACACCACTATTTTGCTTCATTCTGTGATGATCTAATATTGCCCCACCCCTCACCATTGTGACCTCACAGATGTAAACATATAAACCCCGCCCCTTCCCAACATGTTTGTTTTAACACTGCTAATGTTTGTGAATCTCGCAAACATGTTTGTATAAGTAAGAATTCTGCAGCAGAATATTTTCTGTATAGTATTTGTAAACTATATTTTTGTATATTTAATCAACATTTTGAAGAAAATAAAAAAATGCAAAGATGCTTTTTTGTGCTAATTTTGTGTTATATTCATTAAAATATGTTGCATGTGACTGACTTGAATTGTAAATAAAGTTGCCAAGTTTTTGAAATAAAGAATATTTGTTGTCTTTAAGTTTGAAAAACAAATTTCTTCAAGATCTGCACTGTAGCATTACAATAAATGTAGATTAAGGGATGTGGGGTAAGCTGTGCCACATTTTTACCAATTTTATTTCTTGGTAAATCTTACCAGTTTATTTCAACGCACCCTTCTCTCTGAAGTCTAGCCAACATGAGATATACATACACTCTCATAAATGATTATTAGGAAATATATTTGACAGAAGTTTCCACACTGCCAGAAAATCTACTAAAGCCAAGTTCACACAACATGATTTTAAGCCCGATTTATGCCCGATTTGCAAATCGTTGAGTCGCCGACAGGTCAGGGTGTTATCACGTGCAAATCGCGGGGGATTAGCGGACGATGAACGCTTGCCAATCTGTTAGTATGAAAGAGCCAACAACGCAGACGCGTCGCCGAGCCCAGAAAAATATCTAGCCTGCTAGATATCCAGAGCCGTCGCACGACTCAAACTCATTGATGTCATGAGTACAGCCAATCATAGCAACGCATGGGTTGAGGACACCAGGTAAATCTTAGTTTTTCTTTCTTTTTTTGCATTTTTTTCCTCAGAGCAGATCGTCACGCAAACAGTTTGCAGCACTAGTTTCTGTCTGATGTCCATATTCACGTGTTGTGTTCTCTTCCTTGCTGGGTATTGGCGCAATATTTATTTATTTATTGTGTGTTTTTTTCGTGACAAAACGTGGTTTGTAGACCAGATAGAATCGTTGGGTGACAGAGTTGTCGTCAACTTGTTATTTATTTGATTATTTTCAGGATTTAGACCGTAACATAATACTGAAACAGCTCTCATTGAGTCACAAATGATTTGCTCTTATCATCCGATCGTGGTTGTATCTCTATGCAGTGCGTTGTCAACTCGTGTAGTGAGTTACCTCTTGTTGTGGATCAATCACGTTGTGTTGTGTGGTGTGAACAGTTAACAACTTGAACACTCCAGATTTCACTGAGAGCAAGTCATGTAGTATGAACCGCACAGTTCAGCCCGACGTTTTAAAATCATGTAGTGTGAACAAGGCTTAAGGGTACCAGTCTCTCAAGACTGGCCACTGGATTTGATAAAACAGCCACTTCGGTGCCCTGAAACGGATAACCGGCAGGGAACAACCGACTTGACTGTTCTACAACCCTCCTCGGAGGACTGTTTGGGGACGCCAACACCTCGGTGCCCTGAAACAGATAACCAGCAGGGAACAACCGAACTGACGGCACTGCGACTCCCCTCAGAAAGTCGCACCCCAGAGGAAAAACGATTTCTCAAAACCATCCCTTGGTTGCACCTCAGCGCCCTGAAACGGTGAACCGGCAGGGAAACCGAACTGACTGCTCTTCTTTTTTTTTCTTTTTTTTTAAAGACTCGTTTGGGTACACTGACAACTTGGTGCCCTGAAACGGCGAACCGGCAGGGAAACCGAACTGGCAGTGCTGCGACCCTCCTTAGAGAGTCGCACCCCAAAGGGCGCCGAGGAGAAACGATTTCTCAAAACCATCCCTACCCCAGAGGGGACCACCCTTAGAAACCTGACCGCCTCTGTTTTGCACTTTGTGCTGGGAGGAGCTTAAGGCCGTGTGTCCACCAAAGCGTTTTTAGCCAGCTGAAAATGCTAGATGCTCTGCTGAAGACGCTGTGCTTTGGGCGCTTGAGAGCGTTTTGGCAGCGCAGCGTTTTTTCCGTTGAGACGTTTCGTTGCTATGATACAGTATATCCGTAGCAGTTGAATGTTGTGACAGTTGGTCGGTGTGGTCCCGCCACTCCTCCACTGTGATTGGACGGCTGGGTAAAAAGTGACAGTGATGAGTGCTGCGTTTTATCCAAAGTTGAACATTTTTCAACTCCCAGCGACCAGTAAAAAACGCAGCGTGAAAAAAAAACGTTCAGCGCCTCTGTGCGCTCATGGTGTTTAAAAAATGTGCCGCTCCCATTATAAACAATTAAAAAATACGCCAGGCGCGTAGAAAAACGCTTTGGTGGACACACGGCCTAATAGGCCGAGACTGCTCCCGTCCAGCACTCTCAGGAACATTAGATTGGTGAGGAAGAAACCTCTGGAACGCCGCTGTATGGCTTATTTCTTAGTCTTCTTGAAAGCGGAGCGACCAGAAGAACAGACATATTTATATCTTTATTTTTCCCTTTATTTTTATATCATAAAAAAAAAGAGATAAATATTTAAACATCTATACATGTCTGTAGCCACCAGGGGGAAACAACCGAACTGGCAGCGTTGCGACCCTCCTCAGAGAGTCGCCCCTCACATTCATCCATGTCCTTATATACCAGGGCTGCCTAATAAAAATGTATTCATTATTTATGATGGCTGGTGGGTAGCGCCGGGGTTAATAACGATGACACCGACTCGAGAGAAAGCCTGCAAGCGTCTCTTTAACCCGAGGCACTGTCATACTATGATACGCAATACCCAAACATTACTATAGTTAGACATCTGGGGATTAAACACATAAAATACAAACTGGTTTATTCAATCTCGACACCTCAGTGTGGAGATTAGGAAAAAAACGCAGTCCTCGACGAGGAGGCTGAGATAAAGAGTTTTTCTGTATCTTAAGATACATTTCATCTAAAAAAAAAAAAGCTTCTTTATTTCCAATCTCGTTCAGCTGGCCAGTAAATGTTTAACTGGCAACAGCACAGACAACACCTTTTTTAAAAGCTCCTCTCATATCTTTATTCTCCTCTTTATGACTTAGGCTATATTCATTGAAAACTCAAACATCTGTCTTTCTCTTAATATTTTTATTTGTTTTGTACTCTTTTCTTTTTGAACAAAACACTAACGATACCAATTTCTCAGAACTGGAAATCGCTAGCTAGATCTGGCATGTGAAAGCTGAGAAAGTGCAGAGCCCGTCTCAAACCCCGCTGTCATTCAGATCCGTTTGCGAACCCCGAAATGCGAGTTGTCTCCGCGCCTCGGCAACAGAGACCCGCTCGGGGAACGCGAACCGAACAGTCCTCTTCGGAGGGAGCGGAGCGTCCTCGCGGACAGCTTCTCGCAATGCTCACAGCTCCCTCGAGAACTGACTGCTGGCATGCTCCACTCCCAAACAGCAACATAATAGCTGATGTGTGTCCCCACCATAGGTCCCCACCCGTTAAGTAACGAGGGCAGGGAACAACACAACGTCTATAAACTTGCTTGCGAGCCATACAGATAGATAGTGATATATACATATTGGGCTTTGACAAACAACAATAAATAGACAAGGACAGATTTCACACAGAACGCTTGCTAGAAGCTGGCGCGGTGTGACTTCAGGGGTGCTTTATAGTTTCCTGGTCTATGACGTCACCCGCCTTGACGTTTCGGGCTTCCATTGGACTGATTTTACATGTGCTTCACGACGTAATCACGCAGAGCGTTCCCACCGCGTTCTAACGTAGCTCGAGGTTCCCTTGAAAGGGAACAAGGTTTATATGTAAACAGTTATGCAGCTATATTACATTAGGTGTAACTAACAACCCTGAATCATTTACTAAAGCAATTCAAAATGACACTGAAGTCTACAGACCACGTTATTTTCTTCTTGCCTGTAAACTGTGCACTACTGGCCTCTGGTGGACACTGCACATATGGCTGTCTAGAAATAAAATATGAATCCGCAGACAAACAGGACAAAATGTGATACATTTGTTGACAATGAGCTGGTCAAAATATAATAAAAGTACTTAACCTCTTGTTGCATTTTATTTACATTTAAATACTTTAAAACTGAATGAAAAATCATATTTATTAATGTTTTTACCCTTGTATGTTGGGAGTGAATTTACGAAGTCTGTAGGCTACTTATACAACTAAAAATTGGTACCAAAAGTAATGAATGAATAAAAATGTAATTAAAAAATAATTGGTATCATTTTGAGGTTTCAATCGGTAACACTATAACCAGATGACACAACAATGAAACATCTAAAGCATTTATTTGAAATTAATGCTCATTTCAAAATGTACTAAGCCTACATAAAATTAAAATCAAAAGTTATATCTGTTAATATTATTAAATGGATCTGAGCTAAAATAAACAAAAACAGCTATATTTTGATTAACTTGATTAATGTTCACCATGATTTATATAGCCATACGGTAACAAATGTACACATTTTTAAACTTAAAACATGTTCTAGGCTACCTAAAACATTTAAACAAAAGATCTTGTTTAAAGAGATCCAAGAGATCATGGGCCGGATCTAAGCCAGCACTATGTTGCTGCCTGCTATTAATTCTTTTAATGAGGGCCCCGACACTCCAGAGATCATTTAGCTGCTGGACTTGCAGGATCAGTTTGACCACTTCAAGGTACTGGAGCGCCCCTCACTTTGTAGATGTGATGGATTTTTTGGATCATCGCGAAGACACCAACAGTGAGGACATAGTGCAGCTTTCTGCAGGCAACGCACTATTATTATTATTAAATATAATTATTATTAAAAAGTCCGCACCAAGAAAAAAGTGATGGACATTTTTTTTTTTTTTTTGCATTTCTTATTTCTTACAGTATATGGAACCAAAATGGTTTTGAGGCAATTGTTTGATTTTCCCAGAAGAGTCAGAGGTTCTGTGAATATGGTGTGAAAGTGGGGTTTTGTGTTTAAGGTTTTGAGAAAGTGAGTGATGGTTTCAAGAAATGTGTTTTAGCAATTCAAAAAAACAGTAATATACCTCAACCAGATGATAGAGATGGCTCAATCAGTTTGAGTTAAGTTAGGTACTCCTCTCAATAAATTATAGTGACTCAAAATATGCTCAGTTGTTAATAGCATCATACCTGGCTAGGTAATGTCAACACTGAGTCCTAAATTGAAGCCCAATTGTTTTGAATAACACCAAATATGTTTATTTCTAATGGATACATTGAAAATATGCAGTAGTATTTCCATTGACATATACAATAGACATCACAATAGACGTCTAAACCGCCGCCATCTTGGAACAAGGGTCTTGTCACAGGAAGTAGCTAGGTAACGCTGCTATCTCTGCTCTCTATTTCGAATTAATTGATGGTGGGGAACTTTTGTGCTGTGTATGATGTTCACACACATGAAATCTGAACTAGGAAGAATGATTTATTTCTTTTTTTTTTCTGGAATCAATGAAATATATGTCTGACCATTGGAACGAACCAAAAAAAAAAAAAAAAAAAAAAACGAGAAAATCGCATTCATGATGATTTATGGTGATTTTATTTCCGTTAAAGTGCAGGGGCCCCCGTTCCAAGATGGTGGCTCTATTGACGCATTCGTTCTAATGAACTGCCGTAGCCAAGGCGAAATCACTTCGTGTATACAGGCGGCTCCATCTTTGGAAAACACTCGATAAGTCGAACCCCGAACGTCGTGCTGAGTGATCCGAACTGTATGATGTTCAGCGAACTTCTGAAATGTATGAACGGTGTTCGGGGATCGACTTATCGAGACTATTTTCTAAGATGGCTCCTGTTTGTATACACGAAGTGAAATGTCTTTATAAAGTATCTTCTTATGAAACGGTCTGTACACTGTTTTGCATGCAGGGACCCTCATTATGTTACTGTGTTAGTCTGGGGCTATTTTGAGCCTTGATAGTGGTATAAACTAGCGATTTGTTTTTACTTTATTTTTAATGCCCCCAGTTCTAGCATTATACGCTAAACAGTTTTTAGAGATAAAACTCTTTACATTCGATTATCATGAAAACAAATCTCAGAGAACGGTTGACTAGGTACTGATGTTATATTAGACCAAAGGTTCATTTCACACTGGAGTTCTCCTTTAAAGGTGCGCACATTCTCCCGTCAAGTTTTTTTTTTTTTTTTTTTAGATCACAACCTTTGCGTGGAAACTGGCGTACGTACGTTTCCAGCCCCGTTTTGTGTGTACGCACGCTTTATAAATGAGACCCCTAGGTCAACACTATGTTGCTGTCTGGGGCAGATCTGAGGAAATATGTTAGGCACTTTGGAGGAACCCTCATTGAGTTCCATGTGGTAGAAGCAAGAAAAAATGGGCAAGCGAGATCTGAGGGACTTTGGGGTCAGATCATCTCCAAAACAGCAAGTAATGTGGGGTGTTCCTATGCAGTGGTTAGTATACAAAGACCTCTTCACACAATAAGAGTATATGTATCAGGTTTTTATTATAACTTATAGAATATGCCTGGAACAAAATGGCATGAACTTTGGAATGTAAACAATTCCGTCACACTCTTATAATCAGCTTTTCGCAAACTGGGATAACCCATCGAAAAGACAATAATGCTATTAAGCAGGCCACAACAATACAACAAATAATAAAAAAAAAAGGTCTGTAGTTAGTTGTTCCCACAGCCAAGAAAAGAGTTTAAACATGAACATTTTTCAATACATGTTCAACTTTGGGTGATGAATTGCCTTTTTGTGCAACAGCAGAGAATGTGCAGAGTATTTATTAAAAAATGACAATGCAATCTGTTGGTATAAAAAAAAAGCAACACAGTTTAATTAATGTTGCCAGAAGATGTTTGAGGTAATGCATGAAAGCAGTTTAGACAGATGGGCATAAAATACAATCATTCAAACGAGAGCCTAAGAGGTAATGACAATGACTAAAGAACACGACGGCACAAAGCTGAACATCGAAGAAGCCATATATCAGTATCACCAAATCAAGGAATGAAGTCCACATTAATGAATAGAGAAGCAGAAATAAAATGAAACAGTAGCCTATATAAATTGTTATATATTCATTCCAGGGCTGTGGAGTTTAAATATGGCTGTTTAGACTGTGAATGCCGTTTTTGTCTCACACCATGTCGTTATTTTACTGCAGACGATTCCGCAAAACGTAATGAAACAAAAATGCTGATAACACTCCTCTATTAATAAATTATCTGTTTGTAGATTCGTCCTTTTTTGACAAACTTTTAATAGATAATTGATTTGATGGTTACAATTACAGCTACACATGAATTGTCACAACATCTGGAACCTAACAATAGCTAACATCACTATAACTGATTCTTTCAAGTACTGTAGTTCTGTTCAGTGGTACAAAAACAATGGTTATGCTAACATAAAACTTATATAAATATTTCTGGCTGCTTTCTTTTCTGATAAAGTGGCATTCTGTGATCGATCCCATTTTCTTTGCTCCAAGTTCCCTCCATTTTCTAGATCTGTTAGTATGAATTCCAGTTTTGGGTTGGTCACATATTTCAAATTTCAAATTCAAAGTGCTCACACTATTAAGCTAGCACGTCATCACTTTCACCATTTACTGAAATCAAAGCAAATCAATTAGAAATTAAAACATGACAGAATGTTTTTACATGACCAAGCAATTATATATATATATATATATATATATATACAGCCCATTCTCACCCCCAAGGCGTCACTTAACTGACGCCTTGGGAAGCATTTGGACATGCTTCAATATCTGACGCTTTAGGCGCCCTTTAGCGTCAGCAAGATGACGCCCTAGGATCGCGTGTACCCTACCCCCACCCCACACCTAAACCTAACCGCGTCCTCTAACAGACGCTTTCCTTTAGCGTCAGTTAGATGACGCCGTAGGAACTTCAAATATTGAAGCATGGTCAAAAGTGACGCCTTGGGGTGAGAATGCGTTGCAATATATATATATATATATATATATATTACTATTTATTTTTTAGTTTATATTGCAGGTTAATGCAAGGGATTCATATAAAGTCACCAAAACTATTGAACTGATCGATTACATGATGAATGGAAAGCTGATAGTCTTCCAGTGCAAAGCTTAGGAAAAGAGGAATTGCACATGATTAATACGAAACCAACCAACCAACCAACCAACACCGAGCACTGGAAGTGCCCTGATAAAAAAAGTGCATTACATATGTCAGATTCTTTAAAAACGCTTGACGTTAAACAAAATAGAACATCAACAGCTTAATACTAAACATTAGCGGTTACTTTTTTATCATAATAATGGTGCAACGGTTGCTCAGTCTAAAAATGAAAGGCAGCAAGCAGTAATCCAGAGCACTCGGATCTAATAATCTAATAACATCTACAGCAGAACAGTTGAAAAGGCAACATGATATATAATGCTTTAGCACAAACATGCCATCATCATAGACATCTCTTTTTATAGAAATAAATAGTTGAAATAAACTGTACTCTGTGTTTAAATTATATTTCCATCTCTATAGGACTCTGATACACATTCAATATAAAGCATCTATCATACACAGCATACTGCAAATTCGATACCTTTGAACTCACCACACGGGAACCATTTGCAGGTGGATACCCGACACTTCAGGTTATCTCTTTCTTGGTTATATTTCAAATATGTACACCATTTTGTAATTCCTTTCCTATAGAAACAACATATACACACAGTTTTTATTTATTTATTTTTTAAATCTTTTGAAGACAAGAGTGCCAGCACACTCGAAAAGTCATTGTGTGGAGTTGTGGGTAAGTTGCCCTATTCCACCTCTGCAACTTCTTTCTTGAAGATGGTCTTGCATTTTCCATTGCCTCTTTTTGAACAGCCATCCTGAAGTAACCTCAGGTAGTTCATGTGAATACTCCTCTCATGCTAATTCAAGCCCTGTAATGCGTTTTAAGACAGGAAGTAGAACATTGCACCGTAGAAGTGCTCGCCTTGACTAAAGCACTTAGAGTAGACCGTTTAGACCGTGTGATTTCAGCTCGGAGGCTGGCCAAGGGGAGCAGAAATGCTTGATGGGTAAGTGGTACAGCACCCAGAGTGGTCAAGACCATTACTTGCATCAGTATTATTGCATCAGCATGTTTTTTTTTTTTTTGAAACTTGATGAGAATGGCATATTCTAGTTTCTTTGTATGATTGACTTCTAGCTAAAACCATTTAAGTGCTCTAACATTCATTTCCAGACTTTCCTAACCATGAAGATGAATATTCCAACAGAAAGCAAAACCTGGCATGTCATGCGATCTACTCAAAAGTGCACAAAGCAACATAACTGGGAATAAACCTTTTCTTTTTGAAAAACTAAAATGTTAACTTCTCAATGCTGGCCTTGACAAAACACAGCTATCAATCTCACGTACTTTACATTTTAAAGGTCTAAGGAATCAAAGCCAAAACCTAACCCACACATTTCCACAGTGCAGTTCTTATAGATTCTTTGAAGTGACACCTGCATATATTTGTTTTCACCCCTTCTATACAACGGTGCAGTGTCTACATTCAGAACTCAGAATCCGAATTCTCCATTCAGTGGTGTCTACCTTTAGAACATGGACAGTACCATCTGAAATCAACAGAGCAGATGGGGAAGTGATCTATTCAGTCCCACCAGCCTGAGTTCAATAAAATTTCAGCAGAAGTTTGAACAGTAAGAGATGGAGACGTTGACATCTGAGGTGAAACAGTAAGTGTACTGTAGATTGGGGCGACAGCACCATGAGCATGTCTCTAATACCTCTCTACACAAATTTGCTCTCCAATTCCCTTTAGATAAGTGCAGACCTTGTAGGGTATGACTTAAGCCTTTTAGGCTCCACTGATTCACTAATGGCACATTGGGAATGACTCAAAAACAAAATGTCAAAGCTATGGATGGCACATTATGGAGAATGCATTGGAAATCAGTCTGGACCAACAGTCCAATGATGAGAAATAATTGGACTGGTCATGGAAATACGGCTAAAGGACTGGAGGGAGCTTGCGTTTATTGACTTCTTCGTTTGGTCTGAACTCGTACTTATGGACACAAGATAGCTGCGAGTAATAGTAGTTTCTATGGAGACATGGCATCCCCTAAGGAAGGGTCTCGGTAAGCCATGTTTGAAGCTGGTGATCATGTTATGTTGAAACTGTCCAAGAAATATGGCTGGCCGAAGCATCCAGGCGACTAATGAACTAATGCGTCTCTTTGCTGAACGCCGGGGAAGCAATCGAGCTGATCACGCAAACACACACTCCCCCATTAATAACTTACCCATGTGCATTTTAAATTTGTGCTGTTTGGATTTCACATTGATTGTATGTTTCAGGTCAATCTGGAATATAGGACTGTTCCCTCCTGCAGCTCTGTGCTCTGAAGAGAGACGCCATGTTCTCCGAGATCTCATTTTCCCAAGTTTAGTGCGTTTGGCAAGTAGGAGAAAAATCCTTAGTCTGTAATCGTAACTGGTTTTGAGTTGGGTCTGACTGTTGGAACGGGATCCAAGGCAAGTAATCATGCCTTCTCGTAGAGGTTGTTATTATCTTTATAATCTCCACTATTTAGTTGCGTTGTGTCAAAGCTAACAGATGGTGCCCGTCTTGGTGTGGCAGACTGGTGTTTAGAGTTCAAACTGAAGCAGAAGTGTTTGATTCTTCCACTTGATCAGGTTGAAATATTCGGTGAACCTTTGTGTGGCTCTGGCCTCGCACAGCAGAGTTAGCATAAGCCATCTGCTTTCACATGGAGGATTTTGGAGAAACCAGGTCTTTTCTTGAGTGCCTGAAAAAAGGCAGAAAGGATGTGAATGAACAGGTGTTATATTTCTGGAAATATGAATGTTGTAAAAATTGTAATGGTTGAAAACGTTTCGGGCTATGAACGTAACCCTGGTTCCTTGAAAGGGAAAGAGATGCTGGGTCATGATGTCATGATGCTTTGGGAAGGCCCCCAGAGTGACCAGTGCCTGAAGCAAACGTGTGCAAACAAGCAAATTTAAATTGGCCACGGTAGAGGATGAGCGTACATAAAATACTGTACGTCATCAGCTTCAGGTTGTCTGAAGTAAGACACAGTAGGTATAACTGTTAGATGCAGCAGCTCGTAGTACATCTTGATATTCAAGCACAACAGACAAACAGTCTTACTGAAGACAGCAAAAGCCGATGACTTATTGTATGGGCGCTCCTTTTATCGCACATACCAGTGCACCAAGTGACGTCACCCTCTACTGTGCCCAATTAAATTGGCGTGTTTGCACACGTGCTTCAGGCACAGGTCACACTGAGGGTATTCCCAAAGTGTCATGACATCATGACGCAGAGTTCAAAGTGCACTACAGAAGATGGTAATAAATAACAAAATTACAAAGAGTAATAGACGAATCCGACGAGCGTTCTGTGTAGGCTGCCATCTTGTGGTGACGCCATTACTGAGCTGTTACACCGGCATAGACATATGCACCGGTATGTAAACAAACCTCGGTGATAACGCGAACGCACCCTCGATGACAGCTACAGCCAGGCAGAATGACTTGTTGGGTTGATGATGTTAGACCTTGGCCTCCAGTCACAGGTGAAGGTACAAACGATCTTACAGATTATTTATGAAAATAGCTTGGCAAGCTAGCTAGGCTAACGTTTGCTAACGAGGAAACTATAAAAAGATCTGTCCATTTGGCAACAATAAATAAATAAATGAAATCAAATAAACAAATTCATGTTTTTCATTTGTGTCCATTATTTATCTCACTTTCACATTGCAACGGGCAAGGGTAAGGTAACGTTACAGCTAGAAAGTATACATAATATCGACCAATTAGTGTTTTTAAACCATGGAAAGAGGTCAATATAACAGCGGGAGAACAATTATGTCACATAACGTTATATTTAGCTCAGGAAAGCCATTTAATGACCATAGCATGTTAATTGAATAGAAAAAATAGCAAGAGAGGAGATTTTGCTGATCACTATATCACATATTTATTATATTTTTTTACTTATGTCATTAAATAATTGTTATTATACGCGAATGTCCGCGTCTTGTACTCGCCCAGGAAATCTTTGTAAACCGTACGGCTCCACACAGGGGCAGTCGACCCGGGGTATTCACAATGTTTTCTCGTCAAAATTGAAATTTTACTGCCACCATTGAAGCAATTTATAACGGAAACTGTTTACCCACTCGACATTATACAAGGGCTAACGTTGTAACGTTAATGACAGTCGTAAATCGCAGGCTGTTTATTCCAGTGGACGCAAGTTGCAACTAAAACAATAGGATGCAATGGCGCAACGCTACCCAGCAACAGCTCAGTAATGGCGCCCGCTTACTTCCGGTAGTTTCGCCGGATTCGTCTATAGTCGGTTTGATTTTGCGGGACATTTCAGGATATCAACTAACATAAAAGACAACAACAACAGCAGTGTTGTTATTGTTAACAGAACGTCTCGGTTACGTATGTAACCCTTGTTACGTCAAATGACGATGAAATGGGGTTTCACTTAGAAAGCCTATCAACTTCGAGTATATTACAAAACGAGCCAATGGCAAAGAAATTCCATGGGTCTGCAGATTTTTGCATAGAGTGACTTCGCGCCACCTTGTGGCTATATAAGGAAGTAGCCTGGCAATATGCATATATGCTACTTGCTGAGAAGCCGAGACTGAACTCAGGCTGTTCCAGTGGTACAGCGAAAGTGGCAGGGAGACTTAACGTCTTCGTCCCCTACTCAGGGGATGGGGGTTACATACGTTACAGAAACCCTCCCTTTCGTAGTCACTTTGAGTTACATCGAATGACGACGAAATGGGGTACCCAGTCTAATCACGCCACCTCGGCTGTCTTTCAGTGTCCCGTGTAAGTCTGAGCTCCCTGTCGTGAGACTAGCACGGACAAAGGACTCCTACTTAAAACAGGAATACCAAGGTACACTGGGAGCATATCAGTGGAAATATGCAATTATTGCCTGCTCGAAGGGAGGGGACTTACAGAATACACATATGACCCAGAGGGGCTGCATATGGAGAAACACTGGGGTGGATTGGTTCAACCACAGAAGTGGCAAGGTGGCTTGCTAAGGGAAAGACACATGCTGGGAGAGGCTTACAGAGGAAATACACATGTGGGGATCACCAGTGGGGAACCAAGCACATAGAGGCACCTAGCCAATGCAAAAGCTGCAGCAGGCATAGCTTCTGGCATTGACGTCAACAGCGCTGGAGGAACTCCTGAGGAATATATCATATGTATCCAGTCCGTAGAGTGGAATGGCGAGCAAGCGACGACACCTGAGCAGTTCCTAGTACTGGCTGGTATAAGCGAGTACATAGGAGGACACTGGCGCCACTCAGAGATTGTAGAATCTGGCGAATGTGTTGGGTGTCGCTCAGCCTGCAGATCTGCAGATGTCTGGCGCTAGAGCCCAAGAGGAAGCCACAGTCCGGGTGGAGTGAGCTTTCACACCAAGGGGGCACGGCCGACCTTGCTGCTGGTAGGGCAAAGCAATGGCGTCCACTATCCAGTGAGACAGCGGCCATAGACATGATTTCATCAACCAGGGAATCGAATGAGTCCTTGAACGCGGCTCTGGTTCAGCTCAGCGAACTCATTCAGAAAAACTTGGGTTGCAATGTGAAAGAGGGGGGCGAGGACCAAGGATATTTTGTTAGTTTAGTTCCACACCAGCCGCCTCAGCCAAAGCCAAAGTCACCCTGGCCACCAGCCAAAGTATTCTCTCGCGTGGAGAAAATAGATTGGGTGTGGATGAGCTTATCAAGTCTTGACCGTTTCATTGCAATGGTCATGTTCACGCTATATGTGGTTGAAACATAAAATTGCAAGTTACTTTCACATTGTTCAGTGTTATTTTAAGTATCTTTGGATTAAAGAGGTACAGTAACATGCATGGCCACAAAGCATTAAAGAGACATAATTTGATGTTTTAAAATATCTCTAGATGATCATAATCTGAGCTTGTATTTTGATGGGTTCTGATGTTATTAAGGGGGACTTTGATTTGATTTATCTTTATTTTAAATGAACAAACCACGTGGAGGAGCCAAATCACTGAGATGATATCGATCTGAACATTTATGGACGCTATAAATCTGCTTCCACAGTGAGGTGGAAATAAACCGTGGGCAGAATCTGAACAAGTACAAAATATTTTTGAGCCTCTTATGAAAATGATATACGATGAGCAATGCCCTCTGTCATCTACAGCAGCCTGTTTCGGCACAGCTTGTGTAAGATATCCTGCAAGTAACTTAAACAGGAGTTTTAATGTGGGTGGGTGTAACCCCACTTCCACTTCCCCTCCCTTATCTAGAGTCAGAACAGAGAAGAGGCAGCTTCCTGCATCCTCAAAGCAGGCAAATGGATGAGATGAATCACTTGCATTTGACTCATGGTTCTTCAACACGGCAGCTGTGAGAAGTTCTTCTGCTTTCATTTACTCATCTTAAATGCTGTCTCAGACACAGGAAACCCCATGGCCTAAGACTGAATTACTAGTGAACAGCTTTTGCTGGTAATTTTAGTCTGGAAGATGGATGGGTCAAATTTTTGATGTCCTCAGATGTCTCAAATACTTTTTTCATGGCGATGATTCCATACCTGCAGCTTGTTCACCATTTCGTCAAAGAGTTTTCTGGCCTCAGGGCTGTTGGGGTCTTCAAAGTAATCTTCTATACCGATCTGGACTACAATAGATTTCAGGTTACGACACACACCTGTGAAGAGGGCGAAGCAGGCAGTGAGTAAGTGAGTGAGGTTGGAGGGCCATTTTACAGGAAGTGTGGGAGTATTGCATGCATCTCATTCATAGCTTCAAATCTAAAGATACTACCAAATCTGAATTTACGATCATGGAGTTTTCCTACAACTTTATGGACACTTTATAATTCTCATATGAATTTAATTTCAAATACAGGAGAATATTCATTAGTATCTTGATTTTATTTAATTGCCCTTATTATATTTTTCCAAATATTATCTTTAAATGTGGAGTGTAATATAGCGGTTTGTGAATGTATAAGGTCTGCAAAGTTTTAAAGATCGAAGTGCGAACTTTGACCCGCCCTCAAACACTGTAGATGTAGCTGAGGCCTGGAAGACTTTGGTTCGTGTTGTCGACATGTTGGGAAGATGCTATTTTCAGCGCTGCAAATCCACTTCCAAAGGATGAGAACTCGCACTGGAATTGATATGGAGAAACCGAGGCCAACGTTCATATCACTGTGCATCAAGCACTGAAGAAGCTCCGGAACTGCATTTCATTTCTGACAATTGACCAATCACAACAGACTGGGCCATCTGACCAATCAGAGCAGAGTAGGGTCATGGGAAGGATAGGTTTAGAGAAATTCTTCAAATAAACCATTTTCAGACTCTTTGAGAAATTAGGTAATTCTGCAATGTGTATTATGAGAAAATTAAAGTGTTTTTTGACCTTGGATGCATGTGAATCTGTTGTAGGAGACCTTCAAATCCAAATTAGGATCTTTAAAGGATTAGTTCACTTTTAAAAAAAAACTTTTGTTGATAATTTACTCACCCCTATGTCATCCAATATATCCATGTCATTCTTTCTTCAGTCGAAAAGAAATTAAGGTTTTTGATGAAAACATTCCAGGATTTTTCTCCATATAATGGACTTCAGTGGGAACCAAACGGTTCAAGGTCCAAAAGACAGCTTCAGTGCAAACTGCAAACTGTTCAAAGGGCTTTAAACGATTCCAGACGACAAATAACCCCCAATTTCCACCAACTGCGGAACGGCTGCGGATCCACTCAGGAACGGCGGCGGATTCAATAGGTTTCCATTAAAGTCAATGTGTGCATTTTCACTGACTGCGGAACGGCGGCATTCCAACTCCGTCCCAGCTCAGGCGACGCGCAGCCCTCCGGAGAAGATACGCAGAGTTTCTATTTTTGCCAGAGCGCCGCAGGAAGTCGAGCACAGAAACTAAATAAAACATACGGTAATTTCCAAAATAATAATATAGTTTTCCCTTTTCCAATTTCATTTCATTTTATAAGCATTTTATAAGTTGATTATATTTAATTATAAATATTGTACTAGAATCACAATAATCTCCACAAAAAAGGGAGATCAGCAGGTCAGCACATAGTAGTTTCCCCTGTACTTTTCTGGATGGAAACAAACTGTTGCTGGTTTTGTGGCTCTGTTTATAGAAATAACCTGTTATATCGCGCGATAAATCAAACGCAAATTCGTGAGATATCGTGTGTCGTCGTGACTTCAGCTGTCAGTCATGGCCGTTCCGCAACAAATCCGTATCTGGTGGGTATTGAAGGACGGCGAAGCACGGATCCGACACGCAGCGAAAAATCCGGGGTAAGGGTCTTATTAAGTGAAATGATCGCTCAATTAAAAAAAAAAATAACAAAGTTTAAGTTTTATAAAGCTCAAATGGTCGCCTTGCTCTGTTCTGTGATGCGCGTTCTTGACTCTCCTGTTCGAACCCGTTTATCAAAATGAACGAATCTTTTTTCAGGTCATTTGTTTCATTCAACGAACGAAATGAAAGAATTGACTTGGGAAAAGATTCGTTCATTTTGTCCTTATTCATCGTCTGGAATCGTTTAAAGCCATTTGAACAGTTTGCAGTTTGCACTGAAACTGTCTTTTGGACCTTGAACCGTTAGGTTACCAGTAAAGTCCATTATATGGAGAAAAATTCTGGAATGTTGTCATCAAAAACCTTAATTTATTTTCGACTGAAGAAAGAAAGAAATGGACATCTTGGATGGCATGTGGGTGAGTAAATTATTAGCAAAAGTTTTTTCTTTTTTTTTTTAAAGTGAACTACTCCTTTAATAATAGGGGCACTTTAAATGCTGATTATTAAAAATCTAAATAATTTATTTTAATAAAGCATGATTTAATAGCTCTTCTTTTGACATCAGGCTTTCATTTAGATACCATTAGTAACTATGCACAAATAGAACTATAATTGTTCACTAAAATACTAAATATTAATGAATCAGAATCTGAATCAGTGAGTGTGGACTCACTATTGAAGTGAAGCAGGGCTTTAGGAGTAACAGGTGTGGAGGTGAGCACAAGCATCTCCAGACCCTTCAGTCCCTCTCGGCACATCTCAGCAGCCACTTCCTGATTTATCTCACTGACGTGGTCCAACTCAAGCACCTGCAGCCGCATGCAGTTCCTTGCTGGAGATATGCACACAAAGATAGTTATTACAGTCTTTGTGGAGAACGCAACAAGAATGTCTATTGCCAAACAGGTAGACGGCTGCATTACTGATGATGTTTAAGGAATAGTTCACCCGAAATAATGAATATTCTATTCATCGTAAAAAAGGCTACATACTACATGAGAACTATGTTTAGGAGGGCACGAGAAGAGAAAAACATCCCTAATATAGTGCACATGTAATATGAACAAATTACAAGTGTTTATAGTGCTTTGTCATTTTGAACCGGACTGGAACAAAATAACTGTAAGATGGTTTGAGAAAACAAGTAAAATTACAAATTCAAAAACCATTCTGTTTTTCATCCTGATTCAGTCTTCTGAGTGCTCTATGTAAAGTTCAGATGAAACCTTGTGATTTAGAAAGGTCAAAACCATTATATGTAAATGAAATGGTACAGTAAAGTGGGTTAAAAACAGAATGCATAACAGAAAATGTATCTTTCCTTCTTCAAAGCATTTATTTATAGTACAATATGCCTCCAGAAGCATGTTAAAAGTGTCGTTCCTAGTGTCTATTTGTCCCGGTTTTCAATGTGAATAACAAGTTCTTGTCTATGCTAGATAGATAATAGGGTTGAGTGATGTTGCCTCATAATGCTGATCTGTATGGTTAGTATACTTATTATTTTTAGAAATGATGGTGCTAAATTAGAGCAGAGCCCTAAATCCAAAGCATAAGTATTTTACAAATATATATGTTTAAAATGACTACATATACAGGTACATGCAGTATGTTAATATACTATATATATATATATATATATATATATATATGGCTACATTTATTTGATCAAAAATAAAGTAAAAACAGTATCATTGTGTATAACTGTATTTTATTTTTATATATTTTTACATTCACATTTTTACATCATTACTCCAGTCGTCAGTTTCACAAGATCCTTCAGAAATCATTCTAATATGCTAAAAATTTCTTATTATTAATATCAATGTTGAAAACAGTTGCTATGCTTAATATTTTTGTGGAAAGTGTGATATATTTTTTCATGATTCTTAATGAATAGAAAGTTACCAAATGATGAAGATTATCTATGTTATTGACTGCACTAAAGCATCAAAATACCATAAAATGTTTGCAGACATGTAGGAAAAATGCTATATTCGATTTTTTACTCCCTGCCAATTTACCCAATAGTAGTTCGACACCCTGGGTTGCCAGTTCTTGGACAACACAGTGATGGTCACCAGATCACAAATTCTACCAAACGGAAAAAAAACATTGCAAATGTATACATTAGCTGTCAACTTATACTGTTTGTGTCAAGTCCTCAATCTGGCGATCAATCTGTATGGAGGTAGAGCAGGGAAAAATTTGGACTACAGAACCCAACCGCTAGTTGTCAATATTACACCGTTAGTGCACCTTTAATCAATTTAGTGTGTCCTTGCTTAATAAAAATATTAATAAAAATTCTCACTCACCCAAAGAAGCCAATCCCTGTATGCCACAGCCAGCGCCGCCCACACCCAAAGCTCGCAGGTGTGGCCAGCATCTGCCAATGGTCTGCAAGCACCTGTTACTGAAGCGTGCTGGCTGCTGACTGCACAAAGACAATTTACATTTGAAATTATTTACATTAAACTTTAAAAAATAAATTCTAATGTCAAATACTTAAATGAAATGCACAAAAATGAAAGTAAATGCTGCATTTAAATTTATATCATATTTAATCTATCAAGCCATGTAGAACAACAAATTGTAACAAAAATCAACAAATTTTGATTGCATTTCGATCTTACCATGGATGCAAAGGCGCCACCTGTAGTGAGATGATGTCTCTGCAACCAGCTCCTAATGCCCAGATAACCTCCTGTCCAACAGGGTCTGTCGCACTCCTAAAACATCATTAATATCTGAGTTTTTTTTTTCTCTGCCTATGCAAAGCCTGTTTTGACCTCCCAACAGGAACTAAGCAACCAAATACATTAATTAACCTGTTTATTTCTACTCTGGCCTGCACTGCCCTTTGGAGATAATTATAAAAGCTTTCTGGCTAATATATGTATGAATTTTATTAGCTCGAAGTCAAAACCATGAAAGTACAGTACTCATATTTTTGTCCTATCACCATGTCCCCCCATCTGCTTTTGTGGTTTTGACTGTGTGTGTGCTTATAAAAGTCGTACATATATTAGCCAGAAAACTCACTGTTGTGACCTTATGCCCTTATTTAAGCTAAATGATATGCAAGTCAAGTAAAATAAAAGGATTTTTGCATCCTTAATACATCATCCAATTAACGACTGCCATGATATGATTTTTTATTACAGGTGGGCCTATGTAGTAAATGTGTCTCCTATGTACAGTGGCCATTTATACAGTTTAAGGGTCATAATACAAACAATATCTGACTGTGAAATTTTGCAATTAACCGATCAGAATCAAAATAGTACACTAAAAGGATGTGGTGGTATATAAACAGTGTTCTCTTGTGGACCAACCTGTATGTGACAGCCTGTAGTGCCCTGCAATAACAGCTCGCCAGCCACAGAGAGCGATCAGTCAACAGATTTGGACAATGAGACACCTTCAGGATGAGCAGATTACTGCCGGTAGCTTTCAACAAAGCCTCCAAACCCTCCTCAAGACAGCCACTAAACAAAAAACAAATAATCCATTCATAATTCAGTTCATGACTACAATCACCAGATGTCTTAATAAAGTTAAGACAGTCCTGACTTTATTATCCTGGGGTGCCATTTCCCGCAATCATTATGATTATCTTTCATTTGATGGCAGTTAACAAATGTTTTATGAATGGGTTGTCTCGTTTAACATAAAAAAAAACAGTCTTCCTGCTTTACATTAGTTGATCAACTTATACTGTAAGACTTTCCATTGTCAATTAAGCTTGTTTCTGTCAAGTGTAAATTGTCCTCAATCTGGCGACCCACATGAGCGGATGAGGAGAAAACTAAAATTCTTCCATTATTTACTCCGCCTCATGTCATTAAAACCCGCAAAACTTTAGTTAACCTTCAGAACACAACAATCGCTTTATATGATTTAAGCTTTTATTCACATTAGAGCCAGACCGATATATCGGCAGGCCGATATTAGGCATTTTCCAAACTATCGGTATCGGCAGTTATAATGGCCGATAAATGAATATTTCAAAAATAAAATAAAAAACGGAGGAAACACGCTTGAACCATGTCACGAGTGTTGGAGTTGTATAGTTTGTCCACCAGAGGGCACTCAACACAGTCCCCGTTGGCAACACTCGTTGAGTGGGTCACGAGACATACATTGCTTGAATAACAATTAAAAGAACATCCACATCAGTTCTCTTGACTCAAATAAGCATGATAAAATTTGTGACTAATGACTATCATGTCCAGTTTTACAATTTGTTGCGCGTTTCTGAAAAAAGAAATATCGGCCGATATATCGGAATATCGGATTTTAAAACCAATAAATATTTGTATCATATTTGTATATATTTTTAAATATTTGTATATTATTCACATATTAACATTGATCAGCGCATATAAACAGGTCTCTCAGATTTCATTCAAATATCTTCCTTTGTGTTCCGAAAATCAGGTTACGGGTTACGAAAGTTGGGTTTGAAAGGACAAGAGGGTGAGTAAATAATGGCACTTATTTACATTTTGGGGGGGGGTGAACCAACCGTTTCAATCCACCAAATATTCAAATTCGGACGATTTTCTTTCATGAGGTTTTTGACTGGCACTCTGAGGTGGTTCAGCAGAACAATTAACAGCCAGCTCATTCTGTTCCCTTCTCACGCTGGATCACTGAACAAGCACTTCACAAGTGTCAGACTGTGTGAGCGAGTGAGTGTGTATCTGTTTGGTGTGAAAGAGTGATGAGAGGATCAGGGAAGAGTGCAAAAGGTAAAAAAGAGGAGGTGTGGAGCTGTGGGAAGGCAGTAGCCACTCAAACAGCAGGGTGAGTATGGTACAGTAAACAGCAGGCGCAGAGGGAGACCGTGTTACCGTGTGCTCTTCAGATATTCCTCCTTTGTTTCCTTTTTCCCCCTCTGCCGGGGTTTGAGGTTCTGGAGGATGAGGGAATGCGTCTGTGTGCACCACTGAGACACAGTGCTCAAGAACTAAACAAACATGATGAGAAACAAGAGTTAGAGAGCTTGGCCTTTTTCAGGACTTTCAGCAGTCACAAAATACGTGGGCAGCAGATCATTTATGCTACGCTGTTAACATCACATTCAAGGGAATATCCAGCAACTTCACAAAGACATTGAAGAGTGGGACAACATTCCACAGGCCACAATCAACAATGTTTTTTTTTCACCTCATTTTAGAGTGGCTTTTTATTGTGGCAAGCCTAAGGCACACCTGTGTAGTGTTGTGGTACTTGAGACCAGCATAGCTGTCAACCCTCACCGGGTTTTTTCCGGGTTTCTCACATATTTTAGCTCTTTTCCCGCAGTCTTTCCATTTTAGTATTTTCCATAAAATATCCCGTATTTTTACGCTCTGACTGTGTGAGACGTACAAGCTCGGACAGATTCGGCTTGAAGATGTTCATCCACCCAACGCATCATTTTTGCCGCGCTCGAGCGGATGCGTCGAGTATAAAGACTTTACTCCGTGTCAGCGCACACTCTGATCGATAAAGGTGCACAGACCTCTCCCAATCTCCTGCACTCCGCCTCCGAAGCACAACTAACTCCCTCCGTTTCCCCAAAGCCCGTCAGATTTTTTAAACATTCTCTATGATATATATAAATATATATTTTAAATGACTGTCTCTCACACATATGTACGCTATTTATAAACTCTTTAGACTTTTAATGATTAGTGCTTTATTTTTAAAGTTTGAGGGTAAGAATCGTGTAAAAGAAAAAAAAATCCCTTATTTTGGGGGTGGATTCCGGGAAATCTCACTTATTTTCAATGTTGACAGCTATTGACAAGACCATAACTGTGAAAATATCACTAATTTGCCAGTATATTGACTGATTTTTTTGTTAACATCCTTGCTTTTATTGTATGTAAAACGTCCTGATTTAAATCCAAGCAATAACGTGACTCATTGGTCATTGCTAATTATGTATATTTGTTACTGCTGCCTGTCACCCATGTATTCATGTTTATGTATTGTTAATAAAAGGCAGAGAAAAGTGAAGACTTGTTTTACATTCTGTACTAAATGATGGAAGTCACCCAGGAGTATTGCATAAAGATGGTTTATTTCAGCTTTGAGTGTTAAATATCTCTGTTTTGTGTTTTAATTTTGTTCAGTGTATATAAAGATTAATATTTTTAGCTAAATGTGTAAAAAAAAAAAACATTTTTTTTTAGATTTTTTATTAAATCTATTAAAAAAATTCACTGTGCCCCTAATATCTTTCTATACAATTACATTTATTTAAATATTCCTTTTATAAGCCAGTTCCCTGAATTAACTTCATACAGAACACCTTGTGTCAGTTAACTCTCAATCTTTTACTGAGCAATGTCCATCTATAGTTCTTTTCTTCCTTTAAAGCTTTACCTTTTTTAACTAAAATACAGGCCATCCATATTATTATTTTATTTAGTTAACAATTAGTTCAAAATGTACTGCTGTATTTTAGGAAGGACCTTTTTACTTTGAAGTTGTTAATCTACTGAAGTTATTTTAACAATAATGTCTTAAACATTTAAGACAGACTTACCATTAGCTCCAAGGTTATTATAAGTAAGATGAAATACATTTTTCACAAGAAGTTTAGGAATTAAATGCATGCTTTAATGTCATGTTATAGTATTAGAGCATAATATACAGAAGAAGAAAAAAAAACATTAAAAAATGGAAATCTAGACAGATTTCATTTCAACATTCACAGTGAAAACAAATTAATAGTTCATTCATTAGCAGTTTATCAATTTGAATCCAATTCAATTATAATGCTGTAATGTTGTCATTCATAATATTGTCAGGGCTGATTGGCTTAGATAGCTTTATTGAATAACTTTCTGAAATGGCCACAAAGAAAATAAATAAGAAATATATTCTGTATATTATATATTCAGGCTTCTAAAAAAAAAGTGGGCGGTCAGTGCCCAAATCTAACAAGAGCACTACTGTATGCATGTTAGTGTGAATGATGTTAAAAACCTTTGAGGAGATGCGAGCGTTCTCCAGCAGAACTCTGGTCCAAACCGCTGGGTGACGAGCCACAAACTTCCAATCCCGGCACACCTCGGCCGTCCGCAGGAGTGTCTTCGTATCCAGGTAGGTAAAGATACAGAAGAGAGCGGCACGCATCTTCAGCACCTCAGGACTGATCACCTCGTTGAATTTAGAGGGGCTTTTCTCATGGCGGCAGTGCTTGTATCCCCCTTCAGAGCGACCTGGTGACAGGAAGAATGAGAGATCAAGGAAGACTTGCTTGACAACTGTAGTCACCATTCAGCTTCCCTGCATATAAAGAGCAGACATTTAGCAATTAGAAAATCACATGGTTTTCATAACACATAAGAATAGGAAAAAAAGATATATATATATTTATCATTTTGGGTGAATTTAACTGCCTCCATGTATGTCCATATGGTGGCGCCACAGTCAAATAAAAAGGACAGCTATGAGCCTCTGTTCTCTTGTCTCAATGCTGAACATCTTCCAAAATCATACCATCAGCAGGCCATTTCTAGCTCGCAGCTCCAGTTCGACAGACATAGGTCTCCTGAGTCATCCACAATTTGTTGAAAATCTTTTGGCAGCGTTGAACTACATGTTTAAGACTCTATCAAGCAAAAATCTGCCAAAAGTTGTGACTCAAACAGGCTCTCAAATCTAATGGTGCTAACAGAATGGAGCTTGACATTCTCCTGGGCATGACATGGGTTTGATGTGTATACTGAATGCATACAGTTATATCCAAATGCTAGCAATGGGGGATAAACTAACCATGACTGCTGGTCCAAAACCAAACATCAACTAGCAGTAAGATGGGAAAAGATGACTCTGGATCAGTGGATGCAGGCAAGTTCATCCCATATTGTTTGCTGCAGAGAAAAATGTCTTGATTTCTGAAATTATTACACAATTTTTAATTTGTAAGTAAAGCTGCAGTCCAGCGTTTTTCTTCTTTGTTCGAAATCTGCAATTGCAGTCATGCGCACAATTATCAACTTTAAGTGAGTTGTACTTGGACACCGCACAACGTGGATGAACACAATGGTGTTCTGGTTCTGACATCGCGCTGATTAAATCTAACAATCGCTTATAAGTTATCATATCACGCAAAACCGTGCAAATTATACTTTGTTCTCAAATGATTATTGTTAACAATGTCAGAATTGAGTGACTACATGTAATGTCCTTCCGATATGTATCCTTGTTTTCGCATGGGTCCGGTTGAAGTCTTTTGTATTTTACAGCGTGTGAATCTGTTGTCACGTTTGAGCCTTTCTGGATCCGCCATCAAATTGATAGGTTTAATTATATCAAGTGCTGTGAGAAAAGGCTATAAATATCCACCTCCAACATCCTCTCATGCAATATAGCTTATACTAGCTGATGAGACTCCATCTTTATGTGTACAGATGTGATGTAATGATGCAAAGACATGCTCGAATCTCACGTGGAAATCAACCAGTACCACTGGAATTAAAGACAATATTACAAGCTTACCGCTTTATGTATTTTCTCAAATATGTATGTTGGATAATTTTTAACCCCAAAAAAGCTATGGACTGCAGCTTTAACAAAATGAATAACAAATCCCAAAAATGTCATTTTTAAAGAATTAGTGGAATAAAGGGTACTACATTATAATAGTATTTAAGTATTTCAATTATTAGTAGTATTTAAAATGTGTTCATTTAAATGTGTAAAAAAAGAAGAAGAAATAATCCATTAAATAATAGAAATATAAAATAATAATTAACAAACAGGTATTTTGTTAATGGCATTTAATCTCAAGTCTGCGCTTAAATGGTGGGATGGAAAAATATGACTTCAATAGGGGATAAACCTAACAGGCGACTTCATCCCAATCCATATAGAAATGCAACAATATTCTTTTAATAAAATAAAATAAAATAAAATAAGAACAGAGCATAATTATAAATTATTTAATTATAAATTATACTACTATTAAACATTTATTTGTTTGAAAATATTTTAGAAAATTATCAAATAATGAAAAATGAATGAATGAATATAAAATATATTCTTTTAAAATACATAAATATATGCATTTAAACTCTAAACGAGTCTGCACTTAAAGGTATAGTTCACCCAAAAATGATAATTCTGTAATCATTTATTCGTTTCTTTCTTCTGCTGAACACAAAAGAAGTTATTGAAGAATATGGGTGAGCAAACAGTTGATGGTATGAAGAAACGATACTATGGAAGTCAATAGGGCCCATCAACTGTTTGGTTTGATTCTGTCATTAGTTACTCAAGTTGATCCAAGTTGATGATTTTTTTTTTTTCTGTAAAAGTTTCAGAAACCAAACAGTTGATGTGCCCATGGACTTCCATAGTATTTCTTCTCCATTCCATCAACTATTTGGCCACCCATATTATTCAATAACTTATTTTATGTTCAGCAGAAGAAAGAAACGAGTAAATGATGAAAGAATTATCATTTATGGGTGAACTACCCCTTTAAATAATGGAATGGGAAAAGATTATTGTTTTTTATCAATTGATGCAGGCAGCTTGATCCCACATCGTTTGCTCCAGAGAAAAAATGTTCTGAAATTATAACATATAACATTTTTAAAAATGTTTATAAACTGTTCTTATTAATAAAAAATGAAAAAAATGGCACAACAATAACTATTTTTAAATAAAAAAATATGTACTGAACTGACATCCAAATGTCTAAAAAATATTGTATTGTATTACATTCATTTCCTCATTTAAACACAAAACAAGTGTACTTAAACAAATTCACAGAATACATCCCTTGAACTCTCAGTTAAAACTTTTTAGGTTGGTGCTGACATTGGTATGGATGGCATATGATGTGGTTCAAATATATTGGCTTCAGTCACGATAGAATAAAGAAATCTTCTACTTGCCTATAATTATAATTAACTCCCTTAAAATGATCATTATGATGTGAGCAGGCCTACTGATGCCCCCTACAGATTGATAATTACATTTCTGCCACAGCTGAACAAAGTAGAGGTGACACAGTCGACGTGCTGCTTAATAACCATATGCATCTTTGAAGAAATCATCTAGCTAGTCACGACTGTTTTCCTGTCACAAATTAGTCATTCAACCACATCACACAGGTGGTGGTTTAATAACTTCTTTTAATTAATCCATTTGAGATTGAATAATGTTAGAATATTTTAGCTTTATTTCCAGAATCAATCCTCATTCTTACGTAACTAGGGCACATACTCAAAATGGTGCTTTAAATCTCTTGACAAACCAAGAGACATAAATTACATTTGAATCAAATAGTAATAAAAGATATAGATTCTACATAATGTCAGCTTGCTTATTTTCCTCAAGATAAGGATTTATTAAGTCCACATAAAAACAAGAAACTATGCTTCTAACCACAGCTCGAGAGTTTGCGATGCTATTAGCGAAAGTTCGTTGGAACGATGGTTTCGGGAAACACAGACTCTATGAACTTTGCTGAAAACAACAGAACTTGCAACCAAAGTTGGCTGACGATGCTTTTGGGAAACGCACCCCTGAACAGCATAAATGAGCCTTAATCAATGTGTCATGGCCTTAAGCCACACTCTGAATGTGGTGTGATAATGTATGGTAGCATATACTCATTTCACTCTTCCTAAAATGACCTGGAGTTAGTAGGTGGAAAACTGTGCTCATTACTCCATGACACACGCTCTCTAACTGCTCTCTGGTCTGTGTTCCTGACGGCAGTTTGCTCATATGACCTAATTTCTCTCAGCCGGCGTCCTGGTCCTCTGACCTGACTATACATGACCATTATTTGGAGAGTGGCCACGGCCCTGACAAACCGCTCTACAAACTGTTAACTCACAAACACACATACTGTTAAAGGACATTTGCAACCATGGCAGCATTTGCTACAGAGCTAGCCAGTTTCTGCCCCAAATTATGTTTCAAATGATTTACAAGCAGAAAATTCCGTTCACATTTATGCATTTGGAATTGGTTTCCCTGGGAAATGAACCATGCTCTTCCACCAACATTTAAAAACCATACAAAATATTAAGTTTCTATATCCTCGTCCTGCCCACGCAGGTCAATGACGCACCTGTAGCTAGTCTGTATCCTCCACGGTTACCCCCGTGCTCTGCTCTCCTGTCTTGCTCCCACATTTCAGCCTCAGACTCTGTGGTGCGGGATCCTACGTCAGACACGTCACCCTCCTCTCCCTCCGTGCTGTTCCGGTATGGCCGACGCTGCCAGTTCTGGATGGCCTGTTTGCGGAGACCCCAGCTCCGGGAAGCACCTGTCCTTTCGTATGCTCCTCCTCCGCCTCCCTCCCCGAGTCGGCACTGGACGTGGTAGTATTGAGCATCGGGGCAGTCCTCCAAAGCATGGAGGTCCACACTGTCACTGTCGTAACCTCCTGAACCCTGGGACACAGACTTTCCTCGTCCCGATGCACTGTTTAACAAAACCACAAAAGGGAAGCATCAGGCACAATAGAGTGCCAAAGTGATGACGTCACTTTGTAGGTCAACTCGGAAGCTGTGGGTCGCATGGGTTCCCTCGATCGAAAAGCTATGCATTTTGCCCATAGACTTTTGGAAAATCGCAAAAAATAAAATCTGTGTTTAACAAAGAGTCGTGACCCTTACACGATTTGTCTATCAAGATAATGTTTACATGTATACATTTTGAAGCCTATATAAAGATTTTTAAAAACACAAGCAGACACAATAAAGTTTAACCACAAGCAGGTTATAACTGTGTGTTTAAGGCGACTTTATTTCAGGCAATTTAGCAAAACCCCATTCAAAAATCCCATAGACTTTAGAGCGAGGGAACCGGTAGTGCTAAATGCTAACTCACTTCCGCGTTTTGGCCAACAAAGTGACGTCATCACTTAACATCACATAATTTGCAGGAATTCATGAAAGGAATTACGGAAGTGGAAGTGATGACCAAACATAGAACTATTCCAAAATAAAAGTTTAAACCCCCTCTCTGAGATTGCATGTTTTGATGTCCACATGTTTGTGGCTTTAACATTTCTATCACATTCCTAGCACTCTTTGCAGGGATTTGTTATAATATATAGGGCCCTATCATACATCCGGCGCAACGCAAGTGTTTTTTTTCTAGTTTCGGCCCAAAAAAGTTATCTTTTTTACGTCCTGCGCCACGTTGTTTAAATACTAAATTTGTGCGCCCATGGTCTGAAAACGAGGTGTGTTCAGGCGCATTGTTGGTGCGTTGCTATTTTAAGGCAACTGAAATAGACTGCGCCATTGACTGACTGAAACCTGGGGCCTGATGTATAAACGTTGCGTACGCACAAAATGATCATAGAAATATGCGTACGCATTTTTCCACGTGCATATCGCGATTTATAAAAAATAAACTTGGCGTAAATAAGTGCGCACCGTAAGGATGCTCTTGACCGTGCGTACGCACTCTTTTAGAAGAGTATGTGTTTTGGCGACACCGATGGTGAGCTGGAGTCAAATGTCTTTTTGCTCACTATTAGACAGAGAATCTAAAGAAAATTATACATCTACAGAAATATAATTCAAAAATAATTTCACAAACCTATATCATCACTTGAAGCAAAGATCCATGCCTTCTTAAATGACCGCGCCTGCACGCGCGTTGGGTCGTTTAGTGAAACTGACGCACATATAGGCTAATCTGGCAGATGGAGTAAAACCGTAAATCTTCATCATGAGTCCAAATCATAAATAGAGTGCATGTTCTCAATAACAGTTTAAATAGATAAAAGAATAATTTAAACTATGTACTTCTGATATAAACGTTTAGATTATGCCATTCTCATTAATGGAGTTAAACACTTAAACTATACGTAATGAAAATGAAAATGAAAATGAAATCATTACTGAAAAGTTACAAAAAAAATTATATTCAATAAATAGAAATAGACATATTTGTTGTGGATGCAATGCTTTTGAACACTTTTATTCTGGCGTGCTGTGTTTTAATGTTTTAACTAGAGATAATTGCTAATCATGATAATAGCAGATTGTCTGAGAAAATTGTTTGGTGCAAATAATGCACAACCATGCCTATCTGTTTCCATTAAAACATAAATCAATTAAAAATACTATTTGGCCAGTGGAAAAGATTGAGAAAAACTTTCACTGAAATGTATTTAACACTATTTGATTCAAAAACAAGGCAATGCTATAGGCTACTAAAAAAAATTATGTTTGTAATGTGACGGCACATCCACATTTCATATTTTCCTAACGTCTTGTACCGTTAAACTTGGTATCACGTGGATGAATAATCATATCCAAATGATATGCGGATGAGGATATGCATATTTAAACTAGGCATTGTAATCTCCATATATGGTTATTTCAGGGAGGAGACGCACGTGCGCATAATCTCTCGCTGACTGGGATTTATAAAGTGAATTCTGCGTAGCTTCTGGCGTACGAACGGTTTTATAAAACTGAAAACTTTTGTGCGCACGCAAATTCTGCCTTATGTGCGTACGCACACTTTAAGGATGAAATCTACGCAAAGTTTTATACATGAGGCCCCTGGTCTAAAGCCAATGGCGCAATATTTTTTTGTTATTTAAAGAGCGTGTTAGTGATTAGAGCCCGACCGCTAAAGGATTTTGAAGGCCGATACCGATACAAATATTTTTGGGTTTTAAAATCCGATATTCCGATATATCGGCCGATATTTTATTTATTTTTTTATCTATTTTTTTAAACTGGACATGATAGTCACAAATTTTGTCATGCTTATTTGAGTAAATAGAACTGATGGGGATGATCTTTTAATTGTTATTCAAGCAATGTATGTATCGTGAACAATTCAACGAGTGTTGCCAACAGGAACGGTGTAGAGTGCCCTCTGGTGGACAAACCATACAACTCCAACACTCATGACATGGTTCAAGCGTGTTTCGTCTGTTTTTATGTTATTTTTGAAATATTCATTTATCGGCCATTATAACTGCCGATACCGATAGTTTGGAAAATGCCTAATATCGGCCGATAATATCGGTCTGCTGATATATCGGTCTGGCTCTATTAGTGATATGCACCAATAGGCAGGTTCACATCGCGCATACACACAAGGATGCGCAGCTGCACATAAACATGCCAAATATTAAAAATAAAAGGTTTACAATGTAAAGATTATTATTGTGTACATAAAGATATGGTGGAATCCCGCTTGTGCCGTAGATGGTCTGCTTGTGCATGAGCAGATCCGTTTCTTCTCTGGAGAAGAGTTCAGTGTTTCCACTTGCAAATTACTCCATGTAAATAGCGAATCTGCCATGGCACGAGTGCAACTGGATTTTAAAGGGAATGGGAGATGAGACTCTGATTTAATGCATGTTTTGCACCCATTGTATGGTTCGATACAAGGTTTGTGTTCAGAGTGTGTAAAAAGAACAGTGAGAGTTAACCAGGGAATATGCTCAGATCTGTCTAGACAGACTTCCTATAATACACACAAACACACACCCACTAATTTAGAAATGAGAGACTCTGCGAACTCTATTATTTTAAGCCTGAATGAGTAATGGGTTATTTCCTTAATTTCACATTAAATCGTGACTCTCAGTTGTTTTCTATCAAAACACTCCTCGGAGGATTCTTTTAAACACCAAGCGCTGGGTACACAACACTAAATCAACACTTTGAAGGGTGTCATGCACTTAGCCACCAGTATCAATCCTGGTACAGACATGACCAAAAGAAAAAAAAAAAAAAAGCATTTTAAACTCACCTACCAGTAGCTCTTATAAGAGGCAATTATCATACCTTTATACTGTATAGAAAAGAGCCACTTTGACATTTTAAGTCTGATAGTTGAAAGCAAATTATCTGAACAAGCTGTGACTCAATTAGACGACTAAATTTAGTCAATGTCAATGCATTATTCCTGATTCCTTTTTACCTTCAAGACATATGCAACTTCATTTCAGTTTAATTGAGTATGACACTTCTAAACAATATCCACTGCACAAGAACTCTCCTTAATCATTGCAAGAGAAATCACTAAAAAGGGAACAGTTAGGGCATATGCATGGGATTGTGGGTAAGGATAAGGAATGTTCTCCTCCAAGGCTTAGCAGGGACAGAATTTCCACTGGGGATTCCAGCCAGACATTTAGTCACTCTCCAGATGTTACAATTCAAAAGCCAACACTGAGACTTAAAAAGATACTGTGCTACTGCAGCCAATAGTGACTGTAGGCTCTGCTGTAGGCAACTGACTACAATGACAGGATTACTTCTATTTTACAGTGGACTGAAGAGCAAACAACCCACTGGAAACCAAGCTGGGACACATTAAAATGTTTACACAGTGGAAATGTGTAATGCATGGCTGGCTTTGGCAGAGATATCAAAAGCCATTCATTTGTTCAAAAGTAAAGGCTAAAACGAATGTAAATGTAAAGTTTCTGACATAAAAAATTAAATTCAGAAGAACTTTAAGGAATAGTGCAGCCTCTGTATTGTATTATATTGTTTTCGTAATGTTTCAGCACCACTTACTTCAAGTGCATATTTGTGCCTTTTATTTGAAGCCAAAAATAGAGATGCTTAAAAAAACAGAGTATGCGATGGCTAAAGACGTCTACGTCTGAAGTCAACCTTAAGCAGATTTACAAACTCTATTTGCAAAATGGACTGCTGAGGACCATAGGGCAGGGATAGGCTTAAAGGAATAGTTGACCCATTATCATTACCAAACCTGTATGAGTTTCTTTTTCTGATAAACACAAAGGAAGATATTTTGAATAATGTCGGTGACCAGATAGTTGATGACACCCATTGACATCCATAGTATTTTTTTTCCCCATACTATGAAATTCAATGGGTGCCGTCAACTGTCTGGTTACCAACATTATACAAAATATCTTTCTTTGTGTTTATCAAAAAAAGAAACTCATACAGGTTTGGAACAACATGAGGATGAGTAAATTATGACAAATATTTAAAACTAGGGCAAACTATCTCTTTAAATTTGATACAATAAAACATTTTTAAAATTTATATGACTTTTAAAAACACATTTTGTAATGTCTATAGTGCTTTGCTCAAATGTAATGTATTTGAATTATCGCTATGTCAGATTTTCTCTTTATGAATTAGCATATTAATAACATTGGGTATATAAAGGGTAATATAATGGGTATATACACAACTATTCAGAAGTTTGGGTTTTTAATGGTTTTTAAAGAAGCCTCTTATTCTCATAAAGACCGGATTTATTTGATCAAAAATACAGCCGTTTTCTATTTGAACATATTTTAAAATGTATTTTATTCCTGTGATATATAGCTGAATTTTCAGTATCCAAATTCGAGATCAGTCTAAGATGCTGATTTGTTCCTCAAGAAAAAGTTCTTATTTTTAATGTTGAAAACAGCTGTTCTGAAATATTTTTGTGGAAACCATGACAGGATTCAGGATTATTTGATGAACAAAAATAACATCATTTATTTGAAATAAAAATATTTGTAATAATATAAAAGTCTTTACTGTCACTTTTAATTTAATGCCTGCCCAAATAAAAGTATAGTACCACACTTGTCTATTTAATGTCTTTATAAGTGACACAGATGGATGATGGTGGTTATGCCATAATGAGGGAACAGCAGTGATCATTTCAATCCGCTCCCGTCTGATTCAGTAGGAAGACCTGTGGAGTCTGTGATGTCAATTTAGGGACATCAGACTCCGGTCAAACCCACGCTCCTTCCTTCCCTCAGAGCACCAAATGAATCAAATGCACGCACACAACAGATGGACGTTGCTGTCTCACTCACAGATCAGAAACTAGTTAAACGAGTATCTGCACAAAGGTTAAGTTATGGGATTTTACAGGGAATCACATAAATGGACGATGAACTAAAAATAAAAACGAGAGTAATATGTTTGTGATGCATATTACTTATGCATATTGACAAGTTGAGAAAATCTCACTAGATTAATATTAAATCTTAAAAACAATGCCTCACAAAAATGTTAGTCTTATTAAACAACAGTTTTTTTTTTAAACTGAAAACAATATTATTGTCATGTCTTCTATGCTGCGTTAACGCCATGTCCTAATTAGGATAAATAAAGTTCTGTATGCTTTCAAAATGCTTTTGCGGTACTTAGATGTCATACACTGATCGATCTGCACAGCAAGTCAAAATCGAAGGTCAGGTGATACGTGTTATAACTACAAGTTCTACAAGCATGTGAAGGCTTGTTACAGTTCAGAATGAACTCTCAGTTCAGTTTCCAGTGTTTTATTTGTCCATGCTCTTCTGTTGTCATGGTTTTTGATTTTCACTCATGTGTCTCACCTGTGTCTTGTTAATTATTTTGTTTAGTCCCTAGTGTTTGTGTGTATAGACCATTTTGCAAGATGTAAACAACACTGGTCCAGAAACACTTCCTGTTTCAGTTTGTAACTTTTTTCTTTATTTCACATGTAAAGAAAAAATCTTAAAGATGTTTTTTTAACTTTTTGATTCAGTTTTATATGTTCTGTTGGTTGTATTTTATCCCAGCTTTTATGTAGTGTTAAAAAACTGAAACAGGAAGTGCTTCTGGACCAGTTTTATTTACATCTTGCAAAATGGTCTATAGTTCTCAGTTTCAGTTGTTCCTTGTCCTTTATTGTCTATTTTAGTGGTTCTCTCCGTGTTTCTTGAGAAGTTTATTTGCCTAAAAATGAACCCTCACAAAAAAAAAAAATAAACTTGATTTTATTTAGTTAGTTTCATGTAATTTTTTTGGTGATCTATACCTTAGTTTTAGGTTTTACTATTACGGGGACATTTGGTATCCACTCTGTTGGCAAAACCTGACCTGACACTTACATGCTTTCAATACAACACAAAAAGACAAGACTATCCAAGGAAGCAGAGTTTAAACTAATGTTTTCAACGCTATCCTTGTAGAGCCTTGTGTACTGGTTGTTTTCGGCCTTGTCCTTTAAGGCACTTTAGTTTCCCACACACAGCCCTTTTCACATATCTTCTGCATGGCTGAGAGATTACAGACTGGTTTAACCCTGAGGCAAATGCAACAATCTAGTGATTTTCCCTAGACACATCCCAAACCAGGCTGACTCCAACATACCCATGGCTCACAGCAGATAAAAGACATAAACTTGCTGCTCTGCCGAATTTAAGACATATCTACAAAATAGCTGGTGCCAAATCTTAGATGTAATACTTCAAAGTTTGAAGCAAAACTACATTTCCATCGAGCTTAGCACCTTATTTTGCAATGCAGATTGCAGTTTGTTAAGTCGGTATAGGTAAATATCTCCAATTTGAGGCCAAAAATACACAAAATATTAATACAACACAATATATGGCAATATAAGAAAATAATGCAAAGCAGCATAATGGACCATTTTTGTACAGCTAAAATAACTAGAAGTTGTGAGATCGGAGGTCTCGACAAGTTCAAGTTACAAACTACCCTTTACGTTAAAAATAAGGTAAATAAAACAGACATTTTGGCAACAAGTGACTGTCTTTATGAGCGAGTCACTGAATCAGTCATTCAACCGATTTGTTGAAAAAGACAAATTCATTCAGAAATAAAACACAACTACATTGACAATATTGTGAAGTATTCCATTGCCCCCCCCCCCATAATATGTAGATTAATTAATAAATAAAAATGATTGAATTATATTATTTTATATATTATTTATATATAAATAAATAAATTTATATATATATATATATATATATTATATATTATATAATTATATTATTTAATTATATATATATATATATATATATATATATATTTTTAAGTATAGTGATATTATTAAATTATAAACACATTAATATACAAGTTTAAAAATGCATAATAACTCTAAGAAAATTTGGCTGATGAGAAAACATTCATATATTTGTGAAGTCATGCAGAATTCTGCTGTCCCGACACTTACGCAGTGCTGGGGGAGGAACGTCGATCGGACACTTGGTACATTCCCCTGGATGGCCCAGAGATACTGGAATTTCTCTATGAGAGAAAGAGAGAGAAATCAATTCAGAGTGTGTGTATGAGAGAGAAAGATGCTCCAAAATTTCCCTGAACACATCTGAGAGACTGCAGGTCAACATCAGCAGGTATATATATATATATATAAATATATATATATATATAAGTAGACAAAGAGTTATAGGGTATAACACTAAGAGCAGCCTCAGAGAGACACAGTACATGGAAAAAAAACATGATATTTATGTCAGAACTTACATCTTTAGCATCACTATTCATGCTTTATGAGGACTAGGTTTAGTCTGGGTCAACACTGATAATATGTTTCAAAACTCTCAAAAGTACAAAATAACAGCAGGTTGCTTTGCATTACTGATTACTCAATTTGCTAATTACTATTTTGTCATTTAGCTACTTCTATGCTAATAGGCTTGCCGTACACTAATTAATGGGCAATCCTCCTGGTGCAACCTCCGGTTTTGTGCCATGCTGAAAGACTCAACCAGGCCAAATAATTGGTGAAATTACACCAAACTGTTTCCTGACAATCATGCTCACCTGATCGTTTGTGTCAGTTTCACAAACCCACTGAAAGCCTTGTCAAAGCGTAATGCATATGTCTTGCTTTCTAATTTTTAGAGAAAATATAGTCTAAAATAGTGTTTATTTCATTTCAGCCATTCTATGTAAATTAAACATTTTGGTAACACTTTACAAAAGGGTTCATTAAATAACATGAACTACCAACGAGCAAACCATTTGTTACAGTATTTATTAATCTTTTTTAATGTTAGTTAATAAAAATCTGTTCATTGTTTGCTAATGTTAGTTCACAGTGCATTGACTAATGTTAACCTCTGATTTTAATAACATATAAGTAAATGTTGAAATTAATATTTCTAAAATGAATAAATGCTGAAGTATTGTTCATTCCTAGTTCATTTTACCTAAGGTAGTTAATTAATGTGAACTAATGGACGCTGTTGTAAAGTGTTACCAACATTATAATAACAATTACATTTAAGGGCTTATTCACAATTGTAGGATCTAAAAAAGTGAAATATGCATTTTATAGTGAAAGCAGCCTGGCCTACATTGATTTCCCCGTTAAATTCTGAAAATAGTACTTCAGGTGTTTTAGGAAAAAAAAGCGTTCTGCTCTAAAAAACCATTGATCAACTACTAATTACTTTTATTCCTCAGACGTAGGTATTCCTCGTGCAGGAAATAGGAAAACTGTGCCTTTAAATAACTGCTCTAGCTGGTTAGGTGATACGCTAGAGGAAATATGGGCCAAGCAAGGTGCCATAGCACTGACAGGCCACACAAACACACACTGGGCGCAGTGCCCGCAGAAATTGGGCTGAAAGGAAAAGCAGCACTATTGATTTCCCGAGCAATGCACAGAAAGGCTGGCTGGGATTGTGGGAAATGCTTGAGACAAGAACAATCTGCATCTTTTTCTTTCTTGCTTGCTTTCCTTCTGTCTTTTTCCTGTTGTCATAACCTTGCATGACTACGCTCTAATTTAGGCCAAATGTCCTGAATCACAGCATGCATGCTCCTGAAACACTGCTCCCTTCTTCTGACATCACTGAGAGTACTTCCTCTCCAGATAGTAGGAGACTGGAAGGCTGTGGCTGGCATTTGGGAACACGGGCTGTGTGTGAACTCAAGCTGAGTCAACAGTACTGCATGCAATACAATATGAGTGAATGACAAATGTAGATTGCTGTTTCCATGGTGACAAAGGAGCACCCCAATTATGTCAGAGCAGGGTGAGGTGTTACGCCGCCTTCACACTGGCAGTTGAAATCAGCTCGGAAACGTCTCCGAAACGACCAGGAGTCATTCATTTCCTATGGAGATTCGCAGGCCGCATGCGAATGGGTCCGATATATATATATATATATAATTCACAATTTGCAATCAATATATTGATTTGAGTTTTTAACAGCTTTTTAGGATCAAATCATAATTCTAAGTAGATATGAAAACAGCTAGTGATTCAAAATGATGGATTTTCCATTGATAAAATGCCCAGTCACATCACAATATGCTTAAATGACTACAAATACAGATGTAATCTCTGATCGTTCCAATGCCAAGTTTTCTTTTGTCTCTTTCTCTCAGTTACCGTACCTGTCGTCCATTATGTTTGGATCCTTGCAGACTGCAATGTCCCAGGCTGCCGTTGGGGGTGGTGGCACAGCTGCTGATAATCTGGAGCTGTTTTTCAGCACGGTCGGCCCGGTCCAACAGCTCCTCGATGAACTGCTGAAGACGCAGTTTAGCATTGGCTTCACGCGCAGCTGTTTCCTGCAGGAACTGATCGATCTGGGACACCTCTCTGAGTGAGGAGGAAATGAATGGAAAGGAGAAAGAAATGTGTGAGAGTTACTATTAGAGAACTCAGTGATACCTTGTCAGTTTGATCAATGTGTTAAGGAGTATTGAGTGTGTAACTAAATATATGGCGGATTAGTATGGCATATATGCCCCTACCAACAGTGTTTCCTTCATATATTTATATTATGCTCATTTACAGGCTTGATTTTGTTTTTGGTGGTCTACTAGAATAGGTGTTCATGCCTAAACTAATTTATCACATATTTTACTTATTGCAGCACGTCTCTTTCCAGTCTGTTAGTTACGCATGAAGCCCCTCATTCTGAAAAGCGCAATGTTCTCTGATTGGTCAGCTGGATCATTGTGTTGTGATTGGTCAACCACTTCGAATGCGTGTTTCAGAAATGTCAAGCCCTTTACCATAACTGCGGGTTTCAACAACTACTAACCAAACTCAAACAGGCCTCACCCCCTTTTTCTGCGTATGTCTTGGGTGATAATTATTTATTGAATAATTATTTAATAATTAAAACTCACGACTACAATCGAGGCGTTTTTGGGAAGTTCAGAAACAGTGTGCACTGATATTGAGAATAACTCCCTTTGGAGTTTGACTTTGTGCTTAACTTTGTCGACATTTTAATACCCAAACAGCAACATTACACACTAAAGAAAGTTGCAAAATTAGAGCCAGACCGATATATCGGCAGACCGATATTATCGGCCGATATTAGGCATTTTCCAAACTATCGGTATCGGCAGTTATAATGGCCGATAAATGAATATTTCAAAAATAAAATAAAAACGGACGAAACACGCTTGAACCATGTCTGTATAGTTTGTCCACCAGAGGGCACTCTACACCGTTCCTGTTGGCAACACTCGTTGAGTTGGTCACGATACATACATTTCTTGAATAACAATTAAAAGAACATCCACATCAGTTCTCTTAACTCAAATAAGCATGACAAAATTTGTGACTATCATGTCCAGTTTAAAAAATAAACAAATAAATAAATAAAATATCGGCCGATATATCGGGATATCGGATTTTAAAACCCAAAAATATTTGTATCGGTATCGGCCTTCAAAATCCTTTATCGGTCGGGCTCTAGTAAAAATGCATAACAGGTCCTCTTTAAAGGACTAACAGGCCATCTAAATTTAAAGCGGTCACACCTTGGGAAATGGGAAAGGGGAATCTGATACCACCTTCTGCCTCTCATTTGTCCCTTTTCTCATACTTGTTTATCTCCTCCAGAATTCTGCAAATCCCTGGAGTGTGCGTACAGCCAATGAAAGCACGACAGCGGTTATCTCTGTGTAGGAAATGTCTCTGTACACATAAACACTGGCTTGCGCCTCTGTCAACACCATCACCTCAGCTATTCTAAGCTTCTCTCACACTCTTGCAGATTCTCACACAGTTGGACTTTTCATATTCATACCCCAACAAATCTTGAGTAGTTCATTAATATAGGTTGCAAACAACTTACGTCACAGGACAAAGGGAACATGCAATAGTTCCTGCGCTCAAGAAAGAAGGTTTAAATATCCAGGAAAATTAAAAGCGGCATTTCATAAAGCAGGAAAATGAATGTGCGTAAATGTGATCTCGCTGGCATTTATGTAATTGTGCACATCTCAAATGATCTTTTAAGTAAATAACAATGATAAAGATCAGGCTCTATTCAATTATCATGTCAGACAGACTGTAGTCTGCAGTGCAGCCTTTTTATAATTCATGGATCTGGTGTACATCACATTAGTATTATTGGTTCCAGTATGTTTCACTAGTGCAACAATTCATCAGCAAATCATCAGCAAACCAAGACTTGTGTCATGATCAGTAGTGAAAGATTCAGGGACAAAAAGGCACAGTGAAAGAAAAAAAAGAGCAGAATTTAAATATGTTCTTTCCTTCTTATTGTTTTCAACATTTAAAAGGTTGTAAGAATTAAACTAAGTGATTTCTAAGAAACGCTGCTGAAAGTTGATCAGATCAAAACACCAAAACACAACAGTAGCCAATAAGAAGTAAGCTACCTACTGTATAAGATGACGTACTGACATGGCCGGTAGAAGCAATGTCAGCACTTCATCTTATACAGGTAGGCTCCTCCAGTAATTAATGACTTAATTTTCATTTTTGGGTGAACTATCCCTATGAAAAAGAAGATATTTTGAAGTTAACCAAACAGTTGATGGACCCCATTGACTTCCATAGTATTTTTTTTTTTCATACTATGGAAGTAAATGGTCTTCAACTGTTTAGTTAACTTCAAAATATCTACTTTTGTGTTCAGCAGAAGAAAGAAATTCATACAGGGTTGGCACAACTTGAGGGTGAGTAAATGATGACAGAATTTTCTTTTTGGGTGAACTATCCCTTTAAAACGAATCTAAACAGACAAAAGTTGTCAGACAAAAATTTTAAATTTAAAAATGTATAATCTAAAATCAATATTTTTATTCTGTCCTCAATGGTGTAATGGTGGATCGGACTTATTCTCGTAAACAAGGAATTTATTATTTAATATGGGACGGGTAGGTCCATGGAAAAACTATAAGGTACAAAAAGTATTAGGCCATTGCGTTTCCACAACGCGTTTTCGTTCAGAGCCAGCGTGACGTAACTGAATGCAGCAAAGGCGCTCATCACTGCTCCGGCAAGTTTCACAGTCAGTAATTCATACTATAACATTGTGTCAAGTTTCAGTTTGTTTGAAATAACAAACCTTTTCACCTTAAGGAACACTCGACGTTGTGCTATTAGAAGACATCCAATAGCTTTTTGGTACATAACGGCTACTGTAGATAAAACACGCATTTGAAAAAAAAGCTAGGTGCTGGAGAGCATAATGCAAAATACAATTTCACCACTAGATGGGAGAAATTACTACATTGTCCCTTTTAAAAAAGGCCAAATGCAAGCAATATGTATAGGTTTAAAGAGAACACAAGTGACAGAATCAAGCAAGCACAATTAAATAACCAAAGTAACACAATGTATTTTAGTATTTCTCCTGCAGTCTGCCTTCATTAAAACTCTCCTAGTGTGGCTTACAGTCTTGGAGCTGACTGAATCATTCTCACAGGGGAACATGAATACAAATTAAACCACCAGCCTAATAAGCTGATATCTAAATTACAAAATGTTACCAGCAAGGCAGCCTGGCTTTCAGATTCACACTGTGGAAATTCTATGTACGGCCGTTAGAAAGTGCTCTAGTTTATGGAAGCTTGTTTCCGCCACTGAATTTAAAATAAAATAAATAATTGTGACTTTTTATCTCACAAATCTGATTTTTTTCTCACAATTGCAAGTTTATATCTCGCAATTCTGACTTCATAACACATAATTGCGAGTTTATATGTAGAAATTCTGACATATTTTCTCAGAATTGTGTGATATAAATCCGCAATTGAGAGTTATAAAGTCAGAATTGCGAGATATAAAGTCAGAATTGCGTGATATAAAGTCACAATTGTGTGTTATAAAGTCAGAATTGCATGATATAAAGTCAGAATTGCGAGATATAAAGTCAGAATTGCGTGATATAAAGTCAGAATTGCGAGATATAAAGTCAGAATTGCGAAATATAAAGTTGCAATTCTGAGAAAAAAAGACAGAAGTGCGACTTTTTATTTCACAATTCTGACTTTTTTTCTCACAATTGCAAGTTTATATCTCACAATTCTGACTTCATAACACATAATTGCGAGTTTACATGTCGAAATTCTGACATCTTTTCTCAGAATTGTGAGATTTAAACTCGCAATTGCGAGTTATCAGGCCAAATCTAAAGGGAAAAAAAGACTAACTTTTTTCCCCCCTCAGAATAGTTTATAACTCGCAATTCTGACTTTATATCTCGCAATTGCGACTTTATATCACGCAATTCTGACTTTATATCACACAATTCTGACTTTATATCTCGCAATTCTGACTTTATAACTTGCAATTCTGACTTTATATGTCGCAATTGCGACTTTATATCACGCAATTCTGACTTTCCATCTCGCAATTCAGAAATAATGTCAGAATTGCGAGAAGTAAACTCGCAATTGTGAGAAAAAAAGTCAGAAATTACCTTTTATATTTTTCATTCTATGGCGGAAACAAGCTTCCATACTAGTTTGCGTCTGCTATTGAACTAATATTTCTATAATGTGCACAAACTTCTATGAACAAAAAAAAATTGAATAATATCTCAACTCGAGGTCATCCTCCTGGTAAGACAGAACTCAGTCTGAGTGAAACTGACAGAGTGTGTGATAACCTCTGTGCCGGGTTACTGCCACACAGCCCTTATCTAAAAGCAAAGGATTAAAACTGCTCTGATGTGATGTTGCCAGTGTTGTGCAAGATACAGTCCTTCCAGAAACCAGTTTTGCTTGGACTCCAACGGGGTAGTAGCCGTTTCTAATGCCTGTTCAAAAGCATATGCTGTTCTCATGATGTGGCTAATCAAAAAAAAATCCAGTTATGCATTTGTAGCAGTGGTTATCAGACAGCAGGGGATGTTTTTTTTTATTATTATTATTGCTGAGAGTAAGTCTGCCTATCATTTAATATCAATTCCCCTATGGAGAAAATGCCTCGGACTTTTACTTCCAAAACCAAATGTTGCACTTTGGGGTCTGAGGGACCAGATTCTATGGTGGTGCTGCTCAACCGTGCAAGGCACCACTGCAGCTGGTATAGGTTCAGCTTGTATTCAAAGAATTCTAAAAAAGAAGGAATAGAATATTATTCAAAAGAAACCTTGATCTTTCAATGAATACAGACTGGTTTCTGGACTAGTTTCCATGGGAACAACTATTGGTTGGCTCTCGGATACAGTAGGTCTTTAGATAATAATGCTTTTGTATTGCTACAACAAAGAATGGATGAATAGTGCTCCAGGAGTTTTAAAGAACATTTTTACTCATAAAAAATCCATTCAGATTATATTCACACAAGGTGAGATGACTAATACAAGGTGTTATGGAATATTG